AAAAACAGACAGCAGGGACACGCCCTGAGGAGCGCAGGCATGAGCCTTTGAATGGAAAATATCCAAGGGAAACCAAAAATTATGTGGATCGGAGTGCTAAAATGGAGACGAATGTCCATGACGTATCGGGAATGGTGTTGAAATCCAACACACTAGTAAAAACAAAGAGGGCAACATTACGAGGGACAGAATTAAATCGACACACGGACTCGGCAAATGTGCATGTAATCGCAGAGAGAGCGAATGCCTCGAACCAAGGGTCAAAGTGGGTCGGGTGCGCGAATTCTGGTTATGTGCAGCACAATTTTTCACCACACACTCCCACGACACAGAGAGTGAGAGAAGAAACTACAAAAACGAACCCCGAAAACCGTGATCGAATTATCGAAGTGATAAGTGGTGAACGAGGCAACATGAGGAAAGTAACGCATAAATGCGTTCGAAACCGCTACCTAGCGTTTCCCAGGATTTAACAAAAACAAAAATGAATATTCGTCGGAGTCATGATGTATCAGAACCGATGTAACGCAATATCGATGTTTAACGCTTGTTTAATTTTCTTTGCTCAATTCAAAATAACCATGTTAAGTTGTGACACGTACGCGCGCGTTGTAAGGAATAGCAGCAAAACTTGAGGACAATCGATGGTTCATGATGGAAGAAGGGTATACATTTTTTTTAAAAATAACCCGTGGCCATTTGACCACTGGTCATTTTTAAAAGGGCGGAATGTTGTATACTAACCCTTCTTCCATAATTGAGATTAATAATATTTGATGATTTTTATATATTATCTTTTTACTTGTTTTTTTTAATGAGTGAAACACACCAAGCGCAGCAAACTGCAAAACACCAGGTGTTGTTAAGTAATGAACCGGAGGAGGGCTAGGATGGCAGAATTTACAACGTTGCTTCAAGGGAAGATAAGGCCTGATGAACGGGCACATGTCACCCGTGCAGGCGGCAGAGACAGTGGGAGTGTCAGCCAGACATAGTTAAGGCAAAAAGCCCAATCATCCTGCATGGTTTTAAAGTAACGTCAAAATTCGAAATTCAACAACAGAGTAGGCTAAATTATCGATCCTCGCGCTCGCTCAAACTGGAGACCAGGCTGCGAGCTACATCAATGAACCATTGCCCATTTGCTAATCCAATACTGAATGTTAATATTACTGAAGTCAAAACGAATTCTATGACCTCAGCACATGGGCAAATAATAGGGCAGTGTCGACTCAAAGGCAATGGAAGAAAACAGAGGCGCCTTTGTCTAAATCACAACCACAGAAAACCAGGAATCATCACTGATTGTGTGTTCAGGAATTCCGAGCTAGTTAGAACACGTGCAGGGGGGGGAGCTGATGTAAACAACCCTGCGCGTCTGGATGTGAGGGGGCCTTGGACCTGGAATCAAGAATAAACACTCCCAGAGCAGAAGGTTGGCAGGGGGAGAGGTGATTTAAAAGAGGGTTGTATATCTCTCAAGGCACAAGACCCAGCTGAACAACACGGCTGCGGGGGTCACCAGAAGTTCGCATTCGCCTAGTTAAGACAAAAAGCTCAATTATTCTGTATTGCTATTAAAGTAACGTTAAAGTCGGAATTTAACAACAGAGTAGGCTAAAGTTATTGATATTCACACCCACTCCAATTAAACCAGGTCACAAGTTACGCCTACTGAACCATCACCATCATTAAGTCAATATGAAATGTTATTTCCATACTTCAATACTTTCTATACAATTCGACCCGAAGCATATGACAATCAGAACCTTCCTAAGTCAAAATTGAATCGCACCCAGACAGGAGCGAATAGTCAATATAAGGTTGAAGAGGGAAGGAAATCAAGAGCACGGCGAACTGCAAACGTAAGCAAAAAGCCGGGAACAACACCAGCCCAGCAACAGCGAGTGGGGCTTCGACAGGCCATAAAGTAGAATAATAACTCCCGGGGTCAGGGGACACAAGAAGAAGTAGGCAGACAAAAACCAGAACTGACTCCAAGGTTCAACCGCCCTCACCTACTCAGGGGTGACGGAAATTAATGAGGCCTTGAATTAACGGCAGGCAACAACAACGGCGAGCAGAGATAGGGTGGGGCAAAGACTGCGGGCTAGGAATGCAACTTCGTGTCAGTAAAGCCCTGACAAACAAGTTAAGTTAAAGACATCACAATACATAATATCGCACATAACATCAATGTTAACGCTATTCACCGTAAACTATATTCCGCTTATATAACCATCCAGGCACCAAGGAATACGAATTCCTAGGATCAAGAAACTTACCCCTTAACCTAAGATATCGGAAATAAATTAATAGTAATAAGTATATGCATGAAAGACAAAAGTAAAACTTATGGAAAAGCCAGGATAACGGGATGAATCACCACCAGGTCGAATATAAATACATAATAAAAAAAACGATGTTAAACCCAGGGTCGGAGAGAAAGGGAGATCCCGGCCGTCTTTGTATCCCCGCAGCGCGGGATAGGAGTGTGTGTACGCTCGGGGAAACACCTACACTTGGGTCGGGAACCACGATGGGAAACGACAGACCTTAGGTTACATACAGAATCATAACTGTGAAATAGTAAGGGACAAATGTTAACTTAAAACTTTTAACCATTTCTTTGTGCGCCGGGTCGGAGAGAGTGTTGCCCCCCTCCAGGTTGTGCAACACGAACAAAGACGCCTATGAGACGATTTGTAACGTCTGTGTTTTGGGTTCATGAAGAAGGCCAGACAAGAGATAAATTGCACCCAGACAGAGAGACGACTTCGAGACAATTTGTAACATCTGGTTGTTTGCTCGTGGGTTTTATGGAGGGAGTTGACAACGGAATATACCGTCAGTGATGCACACAAGGACATACGGACACACACATGGACACACCTGCCTACACGGACAGATCCTGACACAGCAAAAATCGGAAGCCCCGCCTTGTGGGCGGGATCCAGGGGGATTTTTCAGCATAAAGGAACGGATCCTGAACATTGGAAACCAGTGCGACGGGAGGGTCCACTCAGAAGCTCGACCGGGAGGGTCGACTCAGCAGGAGTGCGACGGGAGGGTCCACTCAGAAGCTCGACCGGGAGGGTCGACTCAGGAACGAGTGCGACCAGAGCGGGTCCACTCAGGAGTGCGACCAGAGAGTCGACTCAGGAGCGAGGGCGACCAGCGGGTCGACCCAGGAGCGAGCTCGACCGGGAGGGTCGACTCAGGAGCGAGCTGCGACCAGCGGGTCGGCTCGACTCATCTTCAGCTCGTCAATCTCTGCTGCCGCCGGAGATCTCCGCTGCCGCCGGTGGTGAGCGTCGCGACTTGGCGACGATCCAGCGCTGCACGCTACGAGCGAGTTGTGGGCGCCACCTACCGACCGGGTTCCGAACTGCGACAGCGTATCAACAGCCATCCGACAGGGGAGCGATGGATACGTATGACGCGCACCGCCCCCTCACCACACGACCACCAGGCGTCTGTTTGACCTAAAGAATCGACTCCGAACACTGACTATTCAAGACAACTCTTACCACTCAAACACACTCGAACCCATAAGTCATCCGTGGCTGGGAAGGCATCACAACGAGACCGAGTGGTGGCCTCCGTCGTATAAGAGTATTCTTAATTTTTATCTTTAATATTTAGTGGGCTGTACTCTTAATCGCATAAATTCCCAACAGATCCATCAATACGAACTGATTCTTGGCACCTCCTTCCGCCGAGCCACGCTCACGTGGGGAGTGGATGCCACCGGATCCTTATCAGGTGATCTGGTCCCCAATTAGTAAACTTGGTATAAGATAACGATCTTCGGAAAAGGAGCACCGTCGCAGGCCCTTACTCCGAGCCGTTCTGCTGTCAGATAACCTGCCGATGTATCTGTTGAGATTGGTGCCTTTAAGAATAGTAACTGTTTTGATTGTGTTTTTTTTTTATCGCCGTATAATCTTTCAAGTATCTTTCAGTCATAATCGCCGCACGTACTCGCATCCTCTACAGAATATTCAACTGTTCCGTGACCCAAGGTGTTAACAACGTGATAAGGGTTGCGTATGATCAATAAGGAGTGCGGTACTGCGTGAACAATATTGAGTATAATCATTTATTAACGTTAAGGTTTTCTTAGCATAGTATTTGCACGTTTTAACGACTCTCTCTCTCACTAACAACCATCGCGTTATGCGGGATCCATGTGCCGTTGTCAAAGTGAAATCAGACAATCGTTGATGATACTGTATTGATGCCGTATTGACGTTCCGGGATTGAGAGTTCGCATACTATATCATAGTTAAGGTTGAATTAGTAATAAATTGATCAATACAGAAGTGGTTGTGTGATTCTTTCCTGAAATCTATGCATAAGATCTGCTTCTGCGTTGAGATTTGAACTTGGTGACCTTAATAAACACACTAATACATACTCAGTAAATGTTAAAGCGATAACGGGGTGAACCGGGGTCTGGTTATCATAACGACTTGCGTTATCATAATTACACCCACTCGCATAATTAATACGATTACCTATCGAATTGGCATAATTAAAATGTGCGTAATTACATAATTAACACATTTTCGGATAATTACACATTTGGCCAGATTTCATTTAATTATTATTATTTTCACTGAATATTCATAACCCACATATACAACATAATAATTTCACCCACGCACGCATACAACATAACAAATTTTCATACCCAACATATACAACACACAGCACAAATCCACCCCCTTGTCTCTCCGCTGCTAATATTCGAAGACGACATGGGGTACTCAATTAAGGTTGAATCGCCATAGAAACCCAGAACCAGTTCATATACCACTTCCCGCTGATATGGGCATGTGGGAAATCAATCCAAGTCACCAAAATTGTAGCGCATCACGCAAGCTAACCACTGCGTATAACACCGCACATACACTGCCAGCCATGCTACTTAGCCTGAAATTTTTGCCGTCTTTGTTGTAGAGCTCCTGACCGTGTATTGTGCCATGCGATGTTAGGTGGGGCTCCCGGCCAAGTCGGGGGTGTCGGGTGGTATCCTGTTGGTGGTGCCCAACGTGATGGGAGTCATGTGCTGGTCGCCCGCACTCGATCGCCTGGGCAACAGCGTCCGTGGCATTCAGTTCTGTCAGGTATGGTGTGCAATATTGCCAGAGCACATAATTGGCACTGGCCGATGCGGCGTTCATTATTGTCATTTGCGGCATGTGGTGATGCCAAGTTTAAAGTTAATTACTCTTATGTACGATAGCAGTGCGTATTGTGTTGAGGATACCACTGCTTTGGGTCTGCTTGAGATTGCAGTTATTGGATGTGTGCTGCTGTGTGTGGCTATATCATTGAGAGCATGCTGCATGAGTGTCTGCCTCTGTACATTTGCCGTGTGGATGTCTCATGCCCTCCCATGTTTTCATCAGGAACTGGTCTCCGTCTTCAACTTCCACAACTATGACAACCTGCGACACTTTGTCAAGAAGCTGGACCCACGGACGGAGGGTCGCGATGCACAGGTAAGATATTCCTCCCTTCACCAACACGAGCTCTATTGAGTCGTTTATTTACAAATCCACGTGCATACGCATGCTTATTACTCAGAGGATAGGTCACTGTAGGCTCGTACAACAAAACTGGTTCATCATCATCGTTTGTTCTGCCTATCTGTATGGGGAGATTGGCCATCATTATCAAAGTTCATTGTGAATCAGGTGAAGTACATTTATAGCCATGTAATTCAGAGATTCGGAGGCAAGATTTGTTGGTGTCACTGTAATTACGTGCACAAGACTCCCACCCTACAGAAGCAGTAACGTACTATTTGGAGGCAGAATGGGAAGTGGAAAGTTTATCTCTATGAGCTTTGGAAAACAAACACAATTCCACAAGAAATTAGCCAACCATCCAAAGCAGGGCCCTTCTAACAAAGAGTCGAAATATTTTCCTGGGTAAACAAATTGTTATCATATGTTATATGACGGAGATTATACGGATAATTTTTGTCATCCTTCGCTCAGTGTATTCCATAGATAAGATAATTTTATATATTATATATATTATTTTAAATATATATTTTGTCATATAAAAAATTTTTCGTTGGTGGGTGAAATTCTATTAATCCCTTATTGTGCCTAAAAGCTACTCTTTGGTTTTAGTCGGTAAAGTCACATAGGTAAAAAATCAAATAAAAATGAAAAACAACTAAATTATTTCATTTTTATTTTATTTTATTTTTTACCTACGTGACTTTACCGAATAAAACCAAAGAGTATGGATTCTTGCAGTCACGAAAACTTCAAATCTAGAAGTGCCTAAAAGCTCTTGTGTGTTTCTTTTCAGGCCAAGTCGGTTATCAGCCTCCTGTTTGCGGCCTACAGCGGGGATGTGTCGGCTCTCCGAAGGTGACGCTTCTGCACTTTGTTTGTGCTTCTTTGATCCTGGCAAAAAAAGGTCCCATGATATAGCTCCTCACCCAGAGCTATAAAGTCTCTGATACGTGCATTGCCTTTGTGCTGTTCACCTTTTTTGCCGTTCTCTGGTCTGAGACTGATGAGACGAGGCCATAGAGAAGGCTGTCACTGGTGTAAGTCATTCAATTTCAAAGACAATTCATATATTATCAGAGCATGTTTGTTTGCATGTTCACCACAAGTACTGTGTGGTTAATGCAGACTTGATTCCTTTTACAAATATATCTATTTGGTGTTTGAACATCTTAACACCTGTTTTATTGCCAGAAATGGTAAAACTTCTTCTTAGTTTTCATACTTTGATATTGGCAAAAAGGTCCCATGTTTATTGGCTCTCCTCTAAAAGCATGCACAGAGGATCCACCATACAATGCAGCTTTGCAATAGTGAGTTTCAGTTTTCTATAGTTAACTAATAATTATTTGTATACACATGTGAATGACCAAATAATCTGGAATGCACCTACCTGATCTCAACCGATCTCAGAAGCTAAGCAGATTTGAGCTTGGATATTGCTTGGATTGACAACCACTATACGTAAGCAGTTGTTTTAGGCTGCTGCAGTGCTAAGTTGTGGGAAAATAAGGTAATACAGAGGAATCCATTGTTGGACTGTACTATACTCCATCGTCTATGTGCCCTGCCTTTATCAACCCAAGCTCACCAGCGTGGTCAAGTACTATCAAACATCCTTCATGGCCTGCATGGCATGGAGTGGCCCTCATTCAGCAGTGGATTGACAAAAGAGCTGCATATATTTATATGACATTTATTCTATGGTTCTTTAGGTAAAGTCACGTAGATAGAAAAAATAATAACAATAAAATAATCAAAATTAAAATAAAGTGAATAAAATCATTGGAAAGATGTCATCAACCACTTTGGGTCATGACTTGATTTGTACCAGTTGTGTGCCTTTTGGCGTCATCTGGTCCGACACCATGTGAGACTAGGCTCTAAGAAAAGCTGTCTCGGGTGTGGACCAATCACTTTCAAGGACAGTGCATACATTATCAGAGTTGTGTTTTTTTGTTTGCATTCCGACCGCAGGTATTGTGGTCAATGCAAACCTGACTCCTTGTAAAAAAGGTGTCAGTTTTGTTGACTTGATTTGTGTTTTCTTGTCCACCTCTACCGTCAGCAGTGTGGGTGTGTGGAGCGAGGTGCAATGTTTTGATTGGTGTAGACCTACTGCCGGTGTCGGAGGCCCTCTCCTACATTAACATGAACTGCCCCGCCCATCTCTAAACCTTTATAAACAGCTTGCCCTCAGAGGCTAACCTCCAGGTTCCTGATGGTAGAATATTAATTCCTGCAGTCACAAAGTCAAAATTTACACGATGTTTATATAAAGCTACCACCGATGTGGCGTTTTGATCATTTCGTGGCATCTCTGGCTATACCTGCAATCTTCATAGTCTTAAAAACCAATTTGGTAAAAAAACAAGTATACATTCTTTTGAGATAAATAACACTGAATAACTGTCCAATGGGACCATACAGTTTTAAAAAACTGTTCAAGGTTTTTGTGTATGCTATTTTGGTGTGAATGGCACATTTAAGTGGTGTATTTTAACTCTGTGTTTCTTGCTTGTGCTTAGGTATGCCTTGTCAGCAATGGACATGGAGCAGAGGGACTATGACTACCGCACAGCGCTGCACGTGGGTTCTGCTGAAGGTGAGGTCCCTGTGTGCTATGTAGACACCACCCTGTTGGACCGCAACTCGCGTATTTGGTGGCCCATGCACTCCTATCAATTGGGCCCTCCGAGTGCCACTGTGTCATTTACTTTAGGCGCTCATCTTACAGTCATCACTTTTTTACTTCAAATTCCAGTCGGTTGTCATTGCAGCCCATCGTGTCTGTGGGATTGATAAAATCAATATCAACCCATTGGTAATCAACAGACACTTCAATTGCTGGCGCATGGCCACTAATATGTTTGAGTCTTCCTCTTTTACGAGCATGGAGACACTGACACTCATTTCTTTGAGTTAAATGGTTTTCTAGAATGAGACTGTCAAAATGACAGCACTAACCTCATGTTAACGTGTCATTTAACACGTGGTGTTTACATCACTGAAAAGTGCACTGGTCCCAGAGATAACTGAAAAAGAGCCGGTTTAATCTCACATCCGCCCTATGGTATTTGTATTGTTCGCGTACTTCAAGCTCAATCTGACGTGACGGGTTGCTTTACCACAGGCCACCAGGACGTGGTGCGTTTCCTGTTGGAGAAATGCAAGGTGAACCCGACTCCCAAAGACAGGTAAGCGTGTCGCCAGTACGCGTCGCAGGGAGTCGTTGTCTTTGATGACAATAACTTAAGGTCATACATATGCCCAAGTGTTCTTTAGACTAAACAAGGGAAATTCTTAAGAAGAGACTGACACATTTACTCGGTCCTTCAGATGATGAGGTCTTTGGTGGCAGTAGTGGCTCTGTGACTGATTATAAAGTGGCTCATCGTGCAGAAGGAGATCAGTGATGTTTGTGATGGCCTTGTCTGTCTGAGATATACAGTGGCAGTGCCCTACTCACAAATTAAAGACTGCACGTTAAAATTACAGTTGGGATTCCTCATCCCTTTGTCGATTATGAAATCAGTATGGTAGTGGAGATCAACAGCGTTTGTTCAGTATGAAAATCGGCTCTTGTGATAGAATGTGGCTTTCCAAACGCTTGTTCAAAGCTGCCAGTGAAGATCAATATTGTCCCTTGTGCCATGGAAACGCTTTTGACTTTTAATTGTTTGCATATGGGGGGGGAGGGGAATATTCAGGGTTGATACAGGGGGCCACTTGAATGCCTGTTGAGTGATGAGAATATGGAGATGCTAGGTCTTACATGATGGTGCCGAATGAAATGTGGCGTACAGAATTTGCCTGTGCTCTATGCTTATTTTCTGGCACTGGAAGTGATGACTCACGAGTAATACCAAAGCAACCATGCAGGCCGGCCTGGAATGTCGATTTCCACGCTCTTAGATTTCACACTAGATTGCCATAGTTTGGCTGTTTGAGAGTTATAGTTTTTCGTAAAAAAAAATAGCAAATGCCACTTAACCTTGCGTTGTCGTGATCAACAGCTGTAGAACATACATCTCAAATAAGAAACCTGTGTACTGTTGAACCATTACTCTCTGTTGGACTGCATTGCTGCACGCTGCTATCCATTTCTGACCATTACTCTGTGCTGCGGTGCTTTGATGTGCACTGTTGCTGTGTGTGCATTCACGTGTGCGTGATGTACCCACAGGTGGGGTAACACCCCGATGGATGAGGCCGTGCGCTTCGGACACCAGGAGATTGTTCACCTGCTGCAACAGTTTGAGCACAAGTACCTGCAGGCGGGGAATGTGGCCGACAAGCCACTGCCTGAATCTGCCACTAAGGACAACCTGGAGAGCATGGTGTGAGCGAGCGAGCGAGCGGGCGGCACAGGGCGGGGTACTCATGTACGTGTGTGTGTGCGCGCGCACGCCAAGTGTATCGACCTCACATGTGGCCCTGTGACTTTGACACTGCGTTCAAGTTCAAGTTCATTTATTAGGTATAGCCCTGTGAGCCATTCAGCTCTTGAATCGGGTGCAACCGCAACAAACAAAAAACAAAAACATGAACAAAAAACATCTTAAAGTGAATATGTGACTAAGTGCAAACAGAAAATCCAAGAAAAGACAGCAAAAATATTGCAGAAAAAACACCGTACACCAACGCTGTGTGCAAAAATCCCAGTGGGATGCAAGTCAAACAACAACAACAACCACAAGACAACTTAGATCTATTGCAACCCTTCAAGAGCATCACCGAATATAATCGGTCATTAAAAACCTCTGCTCGCTGTACACTTAGAAGTAAGTGCTTAAATAAATATGACATTGAGCATCGACAGTATTTACAAGGGGTGATCAAAATGCGTTCAGGCAGCAGTGGCCAATACACTAACATATCGACATAAAGTACTAGCGCCATCTATTGGAAGAAGTTTTTTTAAGTGAATTCTTATTTGAGGATTTTTATTTGCCGTCAGCCGTAACGAAAATTGCTGTCTGCTTATGTAAGTGTTCTGATTTGTTCTGATATCCACAACAAATATTTTGAGATCCACAAGTGGATTGCGAGCCACTTATTGGCCACTGCTGTGTTCAGGACAAGATAGCTGTGCTTCAAACTTTCTCTCTGCTCTCACGTGCCGTCCGTATTGTGTGGCTCTTCGTATAAAACCACGCAGCAGGCCAATTCCCTTTTACTTACACATCTAAACTGTGGAACTCGCTCACTGCTTATATTTCTATACATTTCTGAGCGTACACTCTGCGGCCATTTAAAGTAAGCTATCGTCATATTTAAATTGCTTTTATTTTATTTCTGTTGTGGTCAGAACATTATTTCAGGGCATTTTAGTTAAGCTAACAGAGTGGTCTCTCTTAAGCAACGTTACATTTTTAAAATCGCGTTAAAACATTTGATAAACTGAATGTTACAGAACTTCTTTCCCTAAAATTCACGCACCAGGGAACACTTGCTCTTCGGGTTTCAGTACTTGTGTATGCATCTGCCGCAAGAAAGTGTTTCCAAAAGACACATTTAAATACTGCCAAAAAGTATTGTGATATTTTTAAATTCAGGATGAGATTGCATGAGGGAATCTGCCTTCTGATTGGCTGCTTATGGTCACGTGATAGGCATGAAATGTCAGCTAAACATGGTTGCTTATGTGTGAATAAAATAGGAGACTTATCCACTCTCTCTAATGCTAGTTGAATAACATTCTCAGATTTTTTTTATTCACAATAATATTACAGTTGCATATATACGACTTTCAGTAAAAGTATGCAGATGCAGGTGAGGTTCATCGGCAATAGATTTCGCACACCCTGCTGGCAAGACTTCGGCAGCCGCATCTCCAGCACGATTTTCAAAGTGTATCAGTGAAACACTTTTCTTGCTGCAAATGCATCTACATTTTCCGAGACTGCAAGCAGCTTCAGTGAGCATTGCGTGGGCTTTCAGTGGCCTCTACTGGACATACCGCACACTGAATCTTAGCCCCAACAGACGGCGAGAGTCCAGCTCGTGTATACATGCCACATGTCAATTGTGCTTTTGTATCGTAAGAACAAAGAAATGGTCATGTGATTGCCAGGGTTCTTTGAGAAGCTCTCATCTGGTTAGACGTTAGATACTTTTTAGTTTGTTGTGTTTACATGTGTTGAGTCTTAAGCACTGCCCATTTTTATGAGCAGCGATCACCCTTCAAAGTACCTGACTTGTCCCCTGTTAGTTGAATGCAAGCACATATTCATGACATAGCAAAGTAAAAGCAACTAAAATGGTACTGGCTCTTTTCAGCTGATATAGCAGGCTTTATATGAGGAAGTATCATACGTCAAATGCATATGCTAAATATTTGGTAGTTCCAACAATCATCAAAAGTGTGTGTATAAGGGCATTAAAGACATGTTTGTATGTCTATAATGAGCCGGTCACTTGTATATTGTGAGTTTGGTTAATAAGTAGTGCTGAGCTGCTTATAACTAAGGCATCTGCAGTACTTTAAAGTAAATTGGCTGCAATATTAAGTGTCTGGTCAGATAAAGTTCGTATGCACATTACAAGTCACAGTTATATAACATAAATATGCATACAATGAAAATCCCTGTGATGCATTTGTGCAGGGAATTAATATATTAAGAAGAGGAAATTTAGGAATTTAAACCTGGCAACTTAATATAATTAATTAACTAGGCCGACATTTACATTATAAAAATGGACAAGCTTAGTCTAAACAGGCAGATCCTTGAAAATGTTTGGCTTACCAATACATCAACAACATGGGATTTCTTTAAAATCGGACAACTTTACATCTAAACTTTTTACATTTGCATGTTATTGTTATCGTGAATATGTTTGTTTACTGTAAATATGAGCACTCCATTTCTATACACACCAACGCATACAGACACGAGGCAGTACATCTCTGTACCTTAGGCCCGTTGCGCATCACCATACGGTTTCTGCTGAAGCACGCCTAACGGATCTACGACTACATATTTATATTGAGTGTCCACGTGAAAGATTGGCTTGCAGCTCTGTGCAGTCACTGATTTTAACATAAATAATTTCTAACAGATATCAGCCATGATCAATCAACTGCTGGGATGAATGCCTCCCTAAGCAATCTCAATGTATAACAATCTCACAATGCAACAGTCCGTCTAGATCCTGCGCGTGATCTGATTGCTTAATTTCATCTCCGGTCACATCTTTACAGATAATTCGATGTAAAACAATTACAGGAATTCTCTTTTCCTGTTTGATTATATCCAACCAAATACAGTAAAACCTTGGGTTGCGAGTAACTTGGTCTGCGAGTGTTTTGCAAGACCAGCACAATTTTTTAAAATAAATATTAATTTGATAAACGAGCGAGGTCTTGCAATACGAGTAGTACGTATACGCTTTGTCTGCCGAGCGTCACGTGAGAGGGGTGACCAGGTGAGCAGCAGGTGGAGGAGGATGAGGAGGCTGCGGCCACGCTCACAGAAGCCAGGGGGGTTGCGGTAGAGCCGAACAGCGAGTAGCTTGCGATTTTGTACTTCGGTGTCTGATGGTGGTGGTGATGATGGTGGTATAGATGCTGCGGCGGCTGGGGTTGTTGCTGTCACTGTACTTGTCGCGGCGGTAGTTGTGGTGATGGTAGCATTGGCTGCGGCGGTGGTGGCTGTGGCTGTTGGGCCGTCGTACGACGCCAGCGTTTACGCTCCACGCGGACAGCCTCCTCCAGTTTTTCCGCCTCCGCGAGGGAGACCGACGACTTATTTGAGGCTAAGTCGACCGTGGTGCTGCTGGCGGTTGTGGAGGCGGCCGGGTGGAGGATGGCAGACTCAGCTCCATCAGCGACCTCCCCTCCTCCTGTGGCGCTTCCCGAGTTCCCGGCGGCCATGTTGCCGCCCCCCGCAGCCTGCGCCCCACCGTCTCCCAAAATGCTTTGAAGCTCGTTAAAGTAGCGGCAGAAGCGCCGCTCCGTGCTGCCGCTGGCTTGTCGGTTCAGCACCAGGGCCCTGCGGTAGGCGGTGGTCAGCGTTTTCCAGCGACCCTCGACCTGCACCGCCTGGAATCTGAGTCCGAGCTGCTGCAGGTGCCGCGTGATCTCTGCCGATATCTCCTTCTTAAGGTGCAGGCGTCTGCTGAACACTTCCACAAAGTTCCTATAGGCGTTGATCAGCTGAAGCGTGGACTCACAATCCCACGTGCGTAGGGGTTCATCTATCATCACGTGTTCCACCACTGTCTCTCCCTGCCCCTCATCCACGACGTTGGCGGTCAGCTCCAGGTCCTGATCCAGGTCCTGACCCAGGTCCTGACTCAGGTCCTGACCCAGGTCCTGACTCAGGTCCTGACCCAGGTCCTGACTCAGGTCCTGATCCAGGTCCTGACTCAGGTCCTGACCCAGGTCCTGATCCAGGTCCTGACCCAGGTCCTGACTCAGGTCCTGACCCAGGTCCTGACTTAGATCCTGATCCAGGTCCTGAGTGTGCGTTTTGGGGTTTTGCTGCTTCTGGGATGGCTGTAGTCAGAATCGAGTTGTGGTCTTCTATGTTTGCACTGTTTGGCCGTCCTGCTGTGGCCTTGCGAGGTGGGTGTCGTCTGTATTTAAAGCTTTCGGAGCATCGTGAGATGTGTTTGTAACCAGTGGTGTAGTACGTGCGTGCAATGAAGGCTGTTATCATCCCTCTTGCAGTCAGAGACGTCCGAGACTTGAAAACCTTTCAATCAGAAAAGCAGTCACATCGGAAGTTGCATGATGTTTCTAGTGTGGTTTGACTGCTCTTTTATCAAATGAAGGCATTCATCTGTAGATGTTTTTTTTTCCCTTGTGTTCAATGACTTTGTAAATTAGTCGTGCTGGTAACAGGCCCAGCCCAGACCAAATATACAGTAATTCAAGATTTAATCACAGCCCTAATTGCAGCCTGAACTCTTTCCCAGTGCCCATTCAATACGAGACTTCCTTTATAGATGCTACTGGTTTTGCTTTCTCCGGAGTTGAGCATTACTGATACAAATACATTTGGAATAGGTCAGTGACTATGAAGTAACTTTTTAGTCAGACGATGTAGTCACTGAGCTGTATCCACTGCGCATGGGAACATTTTCAGATTAAGGGTCATGTTTGATTTCTGTGTCAGTCACATGGATTTGAGCTGTGCATCAGCACCAACTTGCATTGCATCAGACCCTCAGACTATAGTATCCTGCCAAAAACACCCCAATAGAAATTGTAACCATTTGTTTACCGCAATGTTTACACACCTAATGTACATTTCTGAAATTAGTTTTTACGGACTTCAATTTTTTTCATGTGCAAGTTGTAAGATCTGACGAGACGCATATAAAGGTTGTCATCGGAGTGCGATGTAGTGATAACGAGCCCGTGACGAGTGCACTGCTCGTGGGATGATGGCAGCTTTGTGGTAAAGGCACAAGGTGGATGTTGTTGCTTGAACTGCACTTGTAGACCTTGCTGTGCCTAAAGTAGATAATTGAGTGTTCGTGCTGGTCTGGTGTTACTGTGGTGGTGGTGGTGGTGGTAGTTTCCTTTGTCAAATTTACTCATTGTAGACTACGGACTTAAACTGATAAATCTTAAGTGTGTAGTGACATAGAATGGATCAATATGGCGCGTAGAGCTGGGTACAATAGAATGAGGGAATATGGTGTAGCAGCCAGCACAGCATGTAATACCACGCAGTGGGTCACTAGGGTGCGTGGTGCTGGCTGCTGGCGGAGAGGGGCATGTGGGGACACGGTATCCGGCCGGCTGGTGAAGCACGTGATGGGTCGGGGTGAAGGATGTAGGACAAAGGTGACCGAGGGGACACGGGGAGCATGGCCCAGGACCTTCTGGAGGGTTCCAGGAGGGAGCGTGGTTAAGGGCGGGGCCGGGCAGGTGGCACGTGGAGGTCGGCCCAGAACCTCCTGGAAGGTTCCAGAAGGGGCGTGGCCGAGGGCGGAGCCAGGCCACGCTGAGGGGCATAAAAGGGAAGCCCCGAGGCTGAATCAGGGCTTTCGACAGGTGGAATGGAACCCGAGGTGCTTCGTCTCCGGCAGCGTGTTGGCTGCTCTGACCCGTAATTAGTTATCCCGTGTGTGAACAGTGTGTAAGATATATAGTGTAGAATAAACGTTGCCTCCTAGAATAGTGTCTCAGAAGTGACTCACTACAAATGGAAAGAACAAATGTTTCTTATTGGTTGTACGGAACAAAAATATATATTTATTGTTACAAACCAAACTTGTTTGCTTCTGCCAATCTCCAAATGAGAGGTGTAGTGTTCATTCCGAATCCTTTGGAGCTCAGTACTCCGATGGCGCACAGCACATCTCGGAATCCTTCCCAGTGGGTGTTGTGTTTTTGCTGGCCACAGCTTTGCCCATTGTTCATCATCGCTGGCATCGCTGTGCCACGTTGGGTGAGACTGGCGTTTGTTGGGAGCAGGTCCGATGAGTCTTAAGGTGATGCTATAGCATTCCAAATTGGAACGCTGTGTCCTGGGACCGATTGCATACGACTTGCTGGCTCTGACTTTTAAAAGGTTTTTTTTCTTTTTTAAACCAAATAAGACCTCCAAATTGGAACGTATCTCGTTTCGTCACTCGTAAATTCTAAAGTCAATCTTTGTTGGCAATACATTTTTTGCGCCAATTTAACATAGTTGATCGATTGGATAGGTTTGTTAAAGGATAATTGAGTGATAGTTTAACTATGTAGAGCAATGCCTTTAGTAGTATATATCCAAGCAGACTTGAAACTGATACATTAGTTTAAAATCACTGTCTTCAGATTTGCAGTTACTCTCCTATTCCTATATGGAGAGACCTGCAGGGATGCAATGACGAGTCAACACTGTCCACAAGTAACATTCTGGGAATACATTCGGGGTCTCACAACACTTTCCACTTTGAAGTATGAGGCATTATAACATTATTAGTAAACCGATAATTGTCACATTGGCTTGGTTCAGATGTTTGCCTTTACAGTTACGAGCATTCAATCTAGATTTGAAGTTTTCGTGACTGGAGGGATCCATACTCTTTGGTTTTTTCGGTAAAGTCACGTAGATATAAAATAAATTAAATCACGTTTTGGGCGCAACACAAGCATCCGTCATCAGGTGGGACAACCGCAGCATCAGACGCTTGTGTTGCGCCCGAAACGTCGCGATTTAATGTATTTTATTTGATACCTACGTGACTTTACCGAAAGAACCAAAGAGTAGTTGCGAGCATACCACCTCGAGCAGATTTCCCGCAATGCTGCCAGTTGTGGATCCACGTGCTGCACTGATACGTGTCTGTATTGCATTCTGCAATATTCACGCAATTGTGGATGCGCAGGAGACGCACACTTGGCCGGAATAAAACACCTCGAGGAGCCGAGCGTTTTCGCTCCGCGAGTCGGTGCATGAATGCGCCATCGTTTTTGGTTGTCACTCTGTGACCTGAGTAAACCATTAGTACCAAAGGTGAGGATGTTTATTCGGAATGTGTTTCTTTTTACAAATGTGCAGTTAAGTTATTGTTAAGAAGAGTATTGCTTCATTGTATTTGTACAGCATGAGCAACTGGCTTTCTTTGTTGCAAACCCACGTTGTTTATGGCGATGTATTTTGTATTGATTTTTTCCAGTGTGATGTTGTCATGAGCGGTCTTGTGTTTTTTTTTGTAATTTCCCCATTTGTTTATGTTTAGTATTGATGTTTATTTAAACTATAGTGAACTGAAGTGAAGCTGGTTGTGTTCAAAGTATCTTCATCCTGGACATGCAGCCTTCCAACACAGGATACTATGATGTGCAGTGTTTTAGAGTCGAGGCATTTAACTTAGTCTGAAATGTCGACAATTTATGTTATGGCTATCTAACATACACCACAGCTGTTTGCGACTTTTGTTATGTAACCGCCGGTTTTAAATTAAACATAACTTTCAAGGCAATCGGTTCAAAAAGCATGAATCACTATTGAGTTTCTGAATGTATGTTGTGTTCATTATTTATGGCTGCAAGACAAGATAGCCTATCATCTGCTGACTTGAATAATTGTACTCAAGTGTCCTGCCTGTTAACACAACTCATCAGCATGTTTGGCATTGTTTTGATGCATGCACTGAACTTGCTACTGCTGTGTGAACCACCATGGGCAGAAGTGATACACTGTAGAAACGTTAGGATTCTTTTCACTGTTATGCTAGAAGTTGGCCTCCAGCTATATTCCATGCAATGGAGGTTGAGTTTTTCATTGCAAGCTTTTGGTATGAGCTATTGGGTGTGCGAGTGAGCCCGTATTTTGAGGGAACTGGCCTGCATGCTTATCACATGCCCACAACCAGAATTGGTACTCAACCAAAACATATAGGATATAGCATAATCTAGTTTGGTTCCAGTTGGTGACTCATGCTAAACGAGGTATTGTGGAATTGGCAAGCCCAAAGATCAAATAAGTTGTCTTAAAATGACAGTGAAAGACATCTTGTACGAGGCAAATCGATGGGCATGCACTCAAGTAGGCTTTAAATTTGCTTTTATTTCCAGAATTGTCAGCAATGTAGACATCACATTTTTCCTGCCAGTGTGAGGTCCTTTAGCACAGTGACACAGCTCATGAGCTTCAGGAATTACTAAAAACAATGGAAGCACTCATCGCTATTACCAGGTACCCCACACCCTGGAGTCAGCTCAAGATTTCCAAAATCTGAAAGCAGCGTTGGGACACGAGCAATTTACCAGGACACGATATTACTTTGAATGCCCTACCACACACACCCATGGGTTTTTATTATACCTGTGACCGGGAGTACAGCACTCCTCCAGTTGAGTTTGCCCATAGTTGGTAATTTAATAAATGTAATTGGATTGATTGACCTTTAGGCAGATCTGCTGTGGCTGCTTGTTAATCAGATGCATGGAGTTGGCGATTGATTGGGTTTGGTCTCAAGAGGCTTGAGGGCTGGCAGGGCCACTGTGCCCCCACACCTCGGAATCCCCGTTATAAGGAATAATACTGGTCTGTCGGAGGCAGCTTCCAAGGGCAGACGGACAGCATTTTCTTATTCTTTGGGTCTTTCGGTAAAACCACATAGAACAAGTACAAATATTAAATATATAATTTTTATTATTAAAAATATATTTTTATTATTTGTTCCATCTCCGTGGCTTTAATAATAAAAATATTAAATAATATATTTATATTCTTGGTTCTTTCGGTAAAGTCACGTAGAAGGGAAATATTGTTTGATTTTTATTATTTTATTATTTCTCTTCTACGTAACTTTACCTGAAAGAACCAAAAATATGAATCCCTGCAGTCACGAAAGCTTGAAATCGATTTTTTTTGTTTACGTGGCTTTATCAAAAGACCCAAAGAATATGAATTCCTGCAGTGGCTAAAGCTTTAAGTCAAGATTTACAGCATTTTCATTGAAAATATTTCATTTATTTCGACACGTGACCACTTTTTTAATTCAAAAGTACCTGAGAATAGGTTTTCCCCTTTTTTTCTGGCAACAAAACAGATGTTAAAACACCAAACTGAAACCTTTTACAAGTAATTGTCTGCATTCACCGCAATACTTGTGGTCAGAATGCAAACAAAAAACATGCTCTCAAAAGTACCTGCTATGAAGTTGGAGAATCAGCTCCGAATCAACCATTTGCATCATTTTTATTGTCCTTTTTAGTTCCCTGACAGCTCTGAATAATTTACAAGCACATGGTTACAAAAGTACACAGCAGATTTACTTCCAAATGACAATCGTGAATTGTAGGTTATCGATTCAAGCAGGATAAAAGATGCAACAAATAAGACTTGTGGGCAACTTTATTTGATGATTGATAGCAGAATCACGGACACCGCTTTGTTCGTCTTGGTGTTATTTGCAATCCCATTAAGTGCAGTTTGAGGTGCAGTACTTTGAAGTAAAGTTGACATGAAGCAAAATGTTAAACGGACAACTGTTGTTTGTGTGTTCGCGTATGTATCTAAGTGCCCGAGTGCTTGTGTACAAAAAAGGCTTTGTTTCAATAAAGTTATTTAATGGAACAAGCAGTGTCGACTACTTTCCTGAACCACTATCGAACATGCATCCCATTACTTAATGTTACGCATATATACATATGTTGCAAGAATAATATCAGACTGAAATTCCAAAAACAGGTATACTATAGTAATGTTACTTTAGACAAAAAGCATATGCACGATATTTAAACATTACAAAGACAAATATATAGGTGCTTCAAAAAAGAAACGCATATCCATTAAAATAATTGCAGCAGAAGCAATAAGTTTGGAAGTCATTGACATTCACGAATTGTAATGATTGCTAATGTATTTACAATTGTTTTTTTCAGTGTGCAAATGTTACAGCCCAAGGCTTTCCCTCAATTGGAGTCCCTACTAATATTAATAAAAACAACAATGTCCTTCAACTAGGAACTTTTTTCAGAAGCGTCGTGGCCACAAATAATATATTTAATGCAGTGGCCTTTGTGAAAATTTTAAGCAGCCAAATACGGCGGGAAAACCGGAGGAACTGGAGAAGAATCCACGCAACCATGGGGAGAACATGCAAACCCCAAATACACAGACATTGGGGACGGGATCGAACCCAAAAACTCCTGCATACCAGGCAAGGTAAGTTAGCATCTCACCACCGTGGTGCCTCAGTGCATATTTGTCAGGAGGTTCTTGCTTGGAACACTGACCAAATTCCTTATTGACTAAGAATGTTGGGTTGGGGGGAGGGGAGGAACTAAGTGCTAAAGAAACGACTAATTTTAGGGGTAATACTCAAAATGTGTTTTCATGGAAGCTGGTTGGAACTACCAGCTAAATGTGAATTGCTGTCCAACACTCAGGTTATATATTGGCACATCACGTGGCAACTTTAACAGGCCGTGTCGAATGGAGCAGGGTTTACAGAACGCATGCCACTGACTCGATCTGACCCAAAAATCTATTATACATCGCTCAATATATTTAGAAATCACTCAAGCATCCTTCTTGCTCATACCTACGGTTGGCTACATATGGTGCGAAATAAGTTCAACGTCCGTACATACACACATTGCTGAACGACTGACTACGTGCTCATTTGTAACCTGGAAGTTGTGAGTCTCGTACACGTGATGTTCTCTGCATTATGCAGGTTGCCTGCAATGCCCTGGATAACAGTGGAGTGCCCAGGAACAGCACAGCAGCTTTTACATCACGAGGCCTCCTTTGCCAGGAGCAAAATATAATAATAGGTTTTTTTCCCTTTTTTCTGGCAACAAAACTGACACCTTTTTACAAGGAAACATGTTTGCATTAACCACAATACCTGCGGTCAGAATGCAAACAAAAAACAACTCTGATAATGTATGCATTGTCCTTGAAATTGATTGGTCCACACCAGAGACAGCTTTTTCTTAAGAACCCAGTCTCACATGGTGTTGGACCAGATGGCGCCAAAAGGCGCACAACTCAAAAGACAATGCACTATCAGAGTATGAGGGTGCAGGGTAAGCATTTACATCATGAGGCCTCCTTTGCCAGCAGCAAAATATAATAGGTTTTTTACCCTTTTTTTTTTGCATTCTGACCGCAGGTATTGTGGTTAATGCAACCATGATTCCTTGTAAAAAGGTATCAGTTTGGTTGCCAGAAAAAAGGGTAAAAAAAACCTATTATTATAGCACAGCAGCTGTTTCTGCGGTAATGCTATGCAGAACAGAAAGTGTGGGATTTACCCCACCTGTCGTTGCCAATTAGAATCCTCACAAACTCTTAATACATGTAAGCTGTAGGGCCAGATACCAGCGTATTCTTGTGCACTGGCCGTCTATACTCCTGCTGCAAATGGTAAGAGAAGAGCACAGAGAGTTCCAAGTGCAAACATCAATTTGGGCCTTTTTCATGATCACCTGGGTAGGGGGATTTGAGGGAGACCACACCTATCCACTCCAGTGCCTCAAGCCAGAATCTCAAGTGCCAAATCAGTCACCTCAAATGGGCATTCGCCTCATCAATAAAGCTTTTTAGGAGCTTATTTCATGAACAACTTTCAGGGTGATTTAAACATTTTACAAAAAAAAAACCAGCTTTAACGTTCATACACTTTGAGCTAGCGATCCAAATGTACTTACTGCGGCAGCAACACGCGTTGGCATATACGCTTCCAGGCTATAACCTCGGAGGCAAGCAAAGACAAGAATTGTGGACAGGAAAGGAGTGGGGGGGGGCAGGTTTCTCATTGAATGGCTGTCTCTAAGGGACAGCGTTTAAGGGCGACTGTTAATTGTTGTCATCATCGGACTGGTGCAATTGCCTCGGAATGAGGGCAGTTCTTCCATTCCCACCACCGGCGCGCGATGCTGGTTTGTGCAATTGGGAGAGGGGTCTCCTCCATCACAGGGGAGGATGGGGTGGGCTGCACAGCTGCGGGGGCAAGACACAGCAGTTTCTCTTAAACACCAGTTGTAATCCAGTCGTAATATCATCTCTCGAGGTCAATCTCTACTGGTGTAAAGTATGATGCACAACTCCGTTGCTTGCGGAATGTAATTTTAATTCATGCAGTTAAAATATTTTTGGATACACGTACAGTAAATGTTTATCTGTGATTGTGATGAATGATATTTAAATCAGAGGATCGATGTGGGATTGACTGAATAGTACCTCACCTCCATGCTGATCTGGTCAAAGTCAGGGAAGGTATCTGTCAGTTGCTGAAAGTCCTCCGGGGACATGGGGAAGATGTCGGAGTTACGGGGTACCCTCCTGCTGACGCGGCACACCACAAGGTGGACACAGGCACAGTGACCCATAGCACACCACGGCACACAGTAAACACCACACTGCAGGTAGCACGCGCAGCACAATACATTGTACGGCACAGCAAGCAACACGCACGGCACAGTGCGAGTGTACACACACCGAATGGCACAGCGAGTGCAGCGAGCGGTGTTCACAGCGTAGAGTACAGAACAGAGCATGCACAGTACACCCTAGACAGTGTGGCACACGGCACAGAGCTCGCAACACAGCGCACGTAACAACGCATTCAACTGATGTACAGAGAAAGGCTAAGTCGCTCGTCCATCGCGCCGAGCACAAACAAGACCAAGGTGGTAATCTCCATAATACAATGATGCAAAGAGGGGCTTACAACTCATGCACCGGGATGAACACAGTCTGGATGTAGCCCTCTTTCTTATCCTCCTCCATGGCATCAACCTCTGCCACACACACACACAGATGAAACACACACAATCCAGAATTAAATGTAATTTGTCATTACTTTTTAGAGTGCTATTCACTGGCTCTGTAAAAATGACAAAAGTCTGTGCAGAACATATTGTTTATGATACTACAGGAAAATTGAACATGGGGTTAAGCAATTAGACCCACAAAAGTCAAAAGTGCATTCTCATGTTGGCAACCCACATTCGATTCGTGCCTATGCACACATCTGGAAATCGATAGGTGAACATGACCTGGGTTTCTACTAGGGTAACTCAGTCTGAAATGGATACTCTTGCAATTGTGTTAACAGTAACACTGAGGAGACAGAGGCATGGCCTAGCATGTTCCTGGTCACATCACCTTCTCATGCGACATGATGACCTTCACAGGGGCTTGCTGAGAGTCTCATCAGCGCGAGTGGGAGACTGTTGTATTGTGCATACATATAATGCGCACAAGTAAACGCAGAGGCTCAGGACTTACTGCGCGAGTAGTACTTGCTGAAGGCCTGGTCCTTGCCGATGTTCGGATAGAGGAACTTCAGGGGGCACTCGGGAATGTTGGCGTCACTCAGGATCTTGAAAGAATTGATGATGTCGGGGAAGGACACGGCCGTTAGCTGCTGCTTGGTGTACGGCTCCACCGAGTGGATCTGAACATCACCTGCAGACGCGCAACCCCGTGGACAATAGATGAGAGAAGGAGGGGCGGTGGCAATGATCACATGGGCAGCACGTGAGCCTCCACTCATAGTGATCCACTCACAGGAGGGGCAAGCAGCTGATTCAAACAAGGGTCACAGCACTCCTTAACTCAATTAAAAATAGGATCCTGCTCCACCCGGCTTCACGGACTGCTCCACATGCATTATTCTGCCCATGTTTTCACCGGGCCTGCAGTGAGTGGCCTTAAGTGTTGTAAGATTCCTGTTCTTTCCCTAACCCTCTATTACAATTCCATTCACAAACTCTCTCCCGGTGCTCTTCACGCCGGCCCACCCTCTAGTCGTGGCCGTGTTATCACATTCGCACCTCTCCTTGCCTTTTTCCAGAACCCCTCCTCCCTCTCTCCCACCTCTCCATACTCCCACTGCCCACCGCCTCATCTTGTTGCCAGGGATGCCCCGGTGGGCGATTCTCAAAGCACGCACGCTCCCACCTCCCCCCAGCTCACCGCAGGCAATGCCATCCTGCTTCTCGACCCAGGTGAAGGTGATGCCACCGTCACGACTGCTCTCGCTGAAGCGCAGCAGGAAGGTGCCGCTCAGCTGGTCCTTCAGCAGGGACTTTTCCGTGTCCTTTGCTCACGAAGCCCATGATGTACCTGTGTGTGCGCAGACAAAGACAAAGCTCGTCCGTTGAGCATCAGCTTGCCCCTTGGGACAGGTACCATGAGCGAGTGTCTAATAAGGCGAGCGTGGCTATAGTGTGGAGGGGTAAATGGAGCAAGCACCACGCATGCGTGGCCCAACCTCTTGTCCTCATGTTGTTTTTTTGCTAACTGCACTGCACTTGGCTGATTCAGCCTATTGGAAGCCCACAGCATTCATGGTGAAGTGGGTGACTAGCACGGAAAGACTGAGTGCTATGAAGAGGGCGAGTGTGGTTATGAAAGAGTGAGTAATGCGCGGGAGGCTTAGTGTTGGGGAGAGATCGATTGCTGATGGAAAAGTGAGATGTACCGGTGAGGTAAGTGGTGCAGGAATAATCGGTGAATGTTGCCTCCATTTCATACATTACCCTTCATTCCAGATGGGCAGAAGGTGCTTCTTTATGAGCTCAATGATCCCATCCAGCCACAGCCAAAACGAAAACTGCTTCTCGGGCATGTTCTCCTGCACTCCACGTACACACGGTGTATGTCAGTAACGCCATACAGACTCTTCTAGATTTGAAGCTTCCGTGACTGCATGGATTCATATTCTTAGGTTTTTTCGGTAAAAGTCACGTAGGTAAAACATCAAAATTAATAAAAATAAAATTAACTTGCTTTTAAGGGATTACATCTTGAATCATTGCCTCACTTGATGCAGCTAATCTGGCTGTGACGGTCCCACCTGATGACGGAGACTTGTGTTGCCTCCGAAACGTCGTGATCTTTATTTTATTTTAATTTTATTTTTTATTAATTTTGATGTTTTACCTACGTGACGTTAACGAAAAAACCTAAGAATATGAATACCATACAGACTCCTTTCACACTGCTTTTAACAACACATCAGTAATACCTTGCACAAACATTTTCAATACCCTTTACCAATACTAGCACTGTATGACACGAGATGGCCCTTACATCAACCCAGTATAGCAGTACAGCAGCCTCTTCAAACGTTGAAACAATTAGAGTACGGTCAAACCCCGCACACGATAGACACTGTTGGGAGGCCTTCAATCAGAAGTGGATTGCGGGGGACGCGTTATTTTTTAAAATATTATGTCTATTGAGTACCCAGAAAAACAATGTCATGATTGTCGTTAACTATTCAAATTTGTAATCATGAAATAACAACCATTAATATGAATCGCATTATGCAGTGAGTGCAAAAATACAAACAAAACAGCAGCCTGGGTTATTAATTATGCTTTATGAGAACATTGTGGTCATGTCAACTTCTACATTACTTTATTAACACGAACATTATAATTTGCGTCATGCTGTGATGTGTATTTATTTCATCGTTTAGCATTGATCTATGACCCTTGCATAATAGAGAGGGCCCTTGACTTTAAACATCTGGCAGGTCACCAGAATTGGTTCAAGCAAGCCGGACTGCTGATGAGACACACTCAATGTGAAAACCAGTCCAAATCTTCTCGTGTTGAATCAATGGCTGCTAATAATATGCACTCCCTGGGGAATGTGTGGCTGATGGGATGTGTAGAAATACGTTTGCGTTTTATGTGGCGAGACAGATATGTTGAGGCATATTCTCTGCCCTTTTATATTTATCACTTTTCGATTTAAAGCTTTCGTGACTGCAGGGATTCATCTTCTTGGTTCTTTCGGTAAAGTCACGTAGAAGGGAAGTAATAAAATAATAAAAATAAAACATAATAAAACAATTCTCACGACGTTTCGGCCACAACGCAAGCATGAGGACGGCTGCTTGCGTTGTGGCCGAAACGTCGTGAGAATTGTTTTATTATGTTTTATTTTTATTATTTTATTACTTCCCTTCTACGTGACTTTACCGAAAGAACCAAGAAGATTTATCACTTTATTAAGCTAGAACCTGCTGCCAGTGAGAGCTGCTGATCTCACCTTGCAGAACTTAGCCCAGGGCACCTGGCACTCCTTGTAGTTTGTAGTGAGACCTGGAACAATGTCGAGCCATCGACAGGGTCAGGCATCGTCACAGTAGAAGCTATGCCATTATAAACACATTCCTGCGGAGGGAGCTGGTAGGAACGTTGGGTTGCTCGGTCAATGGCCAGGGTCAACGGCGGCGTGGTGTATTCCGCAAATATGCCCGACTGTGAGGGCGGGCACAAGCCGGCGTGAGTAGGTTAAACGTTGAGTTTTATAAGGGCACCACGGGGTGACCAGCCCCTCCCCACCCAGCCCTTCCCCACCCTCCCCTCCCCACCCAGCCCTCCCCTCCCAGCCCCTCCCCACCCTCCCCTCCCCACCCAGCCCCTCCATCCCCACCCAGCCCCTCCTTGCACGATGGACGGACACAATAATCCCCTGTGGGCTGGTGTAATAATAATTCCTACCAGTAATAATTATCTGCCATCATATTAATCACCATAAACACAGGTGGTACAGACACACCGTGTCATCCCAGAATTCTATCCCAGAGTTTGAATTATGAAATATATATTTTTTGTCACAGGTCAATTCAGCCCATCATCCTTCCCAGGGTCAAAATTCACATCACTTAATGGGAAGTCAACATTGGTCATCCTATGAAGAGACTGGGTCCCACCATAGCAATGTATAATTACCGTAACTGGGTGAGGCCTGTCAACAGAGATGAGTACTGCCCTATACTTGCTTGAGCAAGGAGAAACTGACTTTTTACTAAACACAAGTCGAGTACTGTGCATCTTTCTGTATTTTAGTTTGCTTCATCAGCGCAGGTATAACTTTCGCATATCATTTGTATGTTATTTGCATAAGTTGAATGCAATCGATTCTCACATGGATGATCCACGTGTGAACCGTGTACGTGAGAATAAATTTTAACCGATGGATCGATGCACTCTTTAAACGCCTACGACTTCTCACACAGCGCCGCGTCCCTACCGCTGACCCTAATGCGGGCCCTCCCCCTGTATGTATGTTGAACTTCTTTCGCATCATACATAGCCGACTACGGTATTCGGAGGTGCGGGGGAAGGACAACAAACTAAACGCAAAAATCTGTTCTAAAGAAATGATTTTTGGATTTAAAAGTGCATAACTTCCTAATATCTGAAGGAAGAACGTTCCAGACGGCCGCAGAAGTGCATCTGAAAGCGCGCGATGCAGTAACCTGTCTTTGTTCAATGGCTAGCCAAAAGCCGGAGTTCGCGTGATGGTGTATGGTCCTCGACAAGATCAGAAAGGTATTGTGGTTCATTTGTGGCAAGCACTTTGTGTGTAATGAGTGCTACCTGATAATGTATTCGCTTGGCAACTGGAAGATAATGCATTTCGGCGAGCACTGGATGGACACAGTCGGATCTTGCAGTACCCGCAACGACACGTGCCAAATCATTTTGTACACACTGCAGCTTGCTAATGGTTTTGCCAGACGTCCCGTAGAGTAGTGAGTTGCAATAACCGAGCCTTGTCGATACGATGCTACACGCCAACGTGTTGGCTACGTCACGACTCAATAGTGGTCAAATGTGTCGTAGAGCCCTGATATGACAATTGAGAATCGATGGGATCGATGCACCCTTTAAACGCAGCGCTGCGTCACCACCGCTGACCCTACAGCGGGCCCTCTTCCGGCCGCGCCGCTGGCGGGGGGGGGGGGGGGGGAAACGCGCGTTGGACCCACCGAGCAGCTTCTCGGCGAGCGTGACGAGCTGCTGGGGGTTGAGGCCTCTGGAGGTGACGCACGAGAACTGCCAGCTGAGCACGTCGGAGAGCAGGCTCCAGCTCGCTGCCGGTGGGTTCAGGAACAGGGACAGGTTCTGTGGCAGAGACAGAGACGTGGCGCCACACTTCTCGTTATCCTGACTGTTCTATTTTGTTTACTACCACTGACATGTAATGGATACGACTTTAATTAGCGCAACACAAACACATTCAATACAATGTTTTGGAAGTACCTTTCTAGTCGTACAATCTAGCAGAGATAATTATATTTCAACCAATATTAATGCCAGATGATTTATATATCTGCACCTCCGATTAGAACCATTGGCTACATACTGTGCGAAGGAAGTTCAACATACATATAGAAAAAAAAATGCATTGTAAGTTAGATTTTTTTTACAATAGAGGGCTATTGCCGTCATTTAATTTCTCCAAGCACTAGAATTTAGAAACGGAGGAAAAAATATCGCCTTGCACTGCCCCATCCACCCAGAAGATTGTGCATGTAGTCTCACCTTCTGCTCGTTGGTGAGCATGTTGTACCACAGGATGGACGCCCAGCCATTGGGCAGTTGGCTCACGTTGGAGATGACAATAACAGGCAGAGACGTCGTCTGTGTTAGACGAAAGCACCGCACACACAATGCACGCACTGTGATGCACATTCAAGCTGCAAAGATATTTCCGTGACAATGCAATCACTACATCACACTGAGTTTCAGAAGAGATGACATCTGCAGTATCACGCCCTCTAAACCCATTTATGAAAGTATGTTTGTTGAACTTTTTCGATTTAAAGCTTTCGTGACTGTAGGGATTCATATTCTTGGTTCTTTCGGTAAACTCACGTAGAAGGGAAATAATAAAATAATACAAATAAAACAATAACATTTTCACAATATTCTCACAACGTGAGAATTTTATTGTTTTATTTTTATTATTTTATTATTTCCCTTCTACGTGACTTTACCGAAAGAACCAAGAATATAATTTGTTGAACTTCTTTCGCACCATACATAGCTAACCGTGCTTATCGAAGGTGCGGAAAGAAATAACTAATGCCAAGCTCGAAAGCCAGACTCCAAAGCATTCATGGTCGCGTTTGATATTACGAACAATGCAAAAACCCCAATGTTATTCACAGATACAAAAAACAACACTAATATTAGCCAGAAATGTAAATGTGTATCCATTATATCATCCCATATGTTTAACCAATCTGTGAATGTTTTGCACGGACTTCAGATGTAGTTGCATTTAGATGCAATGTCTATCCAAATTGTATTGTTGGTGATAGGAGTCCACTGAAATTACTAAACCTGAAGTAGTTATGTTTTACCACTCGAATCTAAACTCCAACCAATAATCTTGTCACTGCACGTGGGACAGCTACCTCCAGATCCATCTTGAGGCTCTGGTGGTAAAATTGCGTCTCAAAGCTGATGAGGTGGAGCTCTTCCGTCACTATCAGTGATCCCTGCACACACACACACAAATAATACATTCTAAGCCACCTTACACTTGCAGGGCAAGTGCTGATTATCAATAACCTGATATGGTTGGGATGCCCTGTGACAATGGTGGAGACATCATTGTCCGATTGCCTTTGCCTCCCAAGTGTCACAATTGTTGGCACACTATCAAGAACAAATATTTAGCCACAGTCCTACTCAGAGAGGTAACGAATACAGGATTCGAATCTGGATAATGGCGAATGTAGCACAATACGTACAAATTTGACACCAGCAAAGTGAAGGTGATATCACCACAGATTTAGTGCCAAGCTAGTTTTACTTTGGGAGTATGTGGAGTAGTCTGACAGGTGAACACACAGGTATTATGGGTCAGCAGACTACGGTGACTTTGCAGATGCATCACCTGTGCTCCCTACTACAGTCACCGTGCTACTTTGACATGCACATCAGACACTCAACCAACGTTTTCCTCCTCCTCACATTGACCCTGAAATCCATGCTTTTTTCTTTAATCTCCCAACCTGCAATTAACTATTCCATGGAAATTAATGGGCACCTCGCGATGTTACTACTTATACGAGCTCGGAAATCTATTGGGCGACATGCTGAATTATCAAGAGTTCTCCATCAAACGTGGGGCACTGTTGATCCCCTGGCAAGCTGCGTTCCTCATGGAGGCCCTGGGTGCAGTAAAGGGGACCTCACCTCGTTCCTGCCTCCTGCTTGCGTGCGCTGTTCTCGTACTTGCTGCAGAAGACAAAGACAAAGATCCCCCATAAAGCCTTAACAGGGGCAAGTGCTGTTAGCGAGCACCTATGAAGGCCAGAACGGCACACCACGCCCGGCCGCCTTTGTCTCCCCAGTGGCGATGTTTACACACCGCACCAGGTACTCATTTGAGGCTGAGTCGACCTAGGGGAGGGCCGGGACCGGTTCAGATAATCGTCACTGATGTTGGCCGTGAGCGGGAATCGAACTCGGATCGCCAGGTTCGTCGCGCAGTGTGCTAACCGCTACAATACCGCTCACGCACACACGCACACAAAGACTCCTTTAAAAGTTATTTTAAACTATGAGTATTCAAAAGCAGTAGAACAGGCGGAAGGGGCTATCATAGATCGGTTTATGTAAGAGGCGACTATGTGTGTGCATATGAGTCACTGCTGCTCTAACGCAGTGTTACAGTGGTGAGGAGGTGTAGCATGAACCTTGCCTGCACACATTGATATTCTCTAGTGCACTGGCAGGTAAACACTCAACAAAGAGCTGCTTGCGGTACAATTATCATGCTACTGCAATGCAGAGATTTTTTTATTCAGCTTGACTTACTTCGATTCAGGTGAGAGCCCATTGAGATCAAATATATATTTAACAATAGGGAAATTTAACCCATGCATGGGAAGAAATATTTTATATTTGTGTGCAGGTGATTTTTAAATTCAGTATTTTGGCTTTGACACCGGTACTCTTCTGGCAATGCTTGTGCATGACATTGCAAGGTCTTGCACATCAAAATTACTGCAGAGCACCTTGCTCTTATGCTTTGTAACATCACGCTTGCCACAATACCACAATACCTTGCTGATCTCGTCAAGAAGCATAAACCTAGCCATCGAACAAAGACGGTCACTGCATCACCAATGGCGGAGCCAGGATTTTCAGGTAGGGGGGGCAACCCCTCCAGCAATGAAAAATGATAGAGGAGTTGTTAGTAAGTAAGGACTTGTCCCTTGCTTTTTATTCGACGCGTGTGCGGCGATGGCGCAGCCATCGATCGAGGGTCGAATTCGAACCGTGGGTGATCGGCATCGTGCTCGCTGAAGGTGAATGCCTTCAGGGAAGTTGTGTACTGTATACGCAACTGTGCACAATTCTAAGTCACTTATAACTGCTTTGCCGTTACTTATTGCCAATTATGGACTCAGACTATTGTCCTATCATCTCATAGAATCCCTGGCACATAATAATACGCTACACAGTGGCAGTGGGGGTCGCAAAATGCCAATTTATTACTAATAAACCCCAATGATCCGATCGAAATTAGGGATTTCAATCGGATCATTGGGGGGGCACGTGCCACCCCACCCCCCCAACTGGCTCCGCCAGTGTGCATCACGCGCTTTCAGATGCGCTTCTGTGGACGTCTGGAACAATCTTACATCCGATATTAGTAAGCCACTGGAGATATATACTTCTAATCTATCTTGAAAACTCATTTCTTTAGAATTGCTTTTTGTGTTTAGTTTGTTGTCCTTCACCTGCACGACCAATTAGCACGGTTGTCCCCATACGGTGTGAAATATGTTTAACATACATACATCCCCAGGCAGCTGTAGCGGTGAGCTGTGGCTGACTGCCAGGTGCAGTGACCACTCGCGTTGTGAACGTGTGCCATGTGAGGAGCTCACCAGGTGGCGAAACTCCACCGCGAGGCTGCCACTGTTGCACTCCTCCATGTTCATGACCTTGGTGTTGGTGCCCAGGATGTTGAAGCGACGGAAGCTAGGGTTGGTGGGACACATGGTGACTTTAGTCCTCGACACTGGCTGCAGCTGTCCTTGCCGCTGATTGGCTCACATTGCACAAGATGTGATGGACTCGGAGTACTCTGTCAACTAACTAGTGATATTTTATGCATAGCAATATTGCAGGTAATTAAGGCCACTGAGTGGTCTGAGAGTAACTGACTTTAAGGACTGATGGTATACTTAGTCTTGTTTGTTTTTGGAATTAAATATTGCCCAGCCAAAGATGCTGTGTGATATGACAGATTAAAATGTTTTGTTTTGCTAATAATATGCACAATGTCAGAGCATTAAACAAACTATAAAAGATGCATTTCAGGCACTCACCCCTTGACTGGAGGCTTATCGCCAATATCCCTGATGACGGCAGAAAATAAAAATAAAAATACACGAGGTTAGTCTTTATTACCACCTATCAAACTGACAAGAGTTATGGTTTTCATTTTAAAACATGCACTGCATTAGTTTTAGGGGACATGTAGGCCAAAATGGGACCGATACTACAGAAAGCATCACTCACTTGTCAATGGATGCCTTAACCTTCAACTGGTAGTTCAACTCAGACAGCTTCACGAGCAGCCTGTAACAGCAAGGAGCAACGCACATGCAGTATCAGCTTAGAACCGTGGAAATTATGTTGCGTACCGGCTGCGTTGCCGGAGCTCTGCTGGAAAATATCACCGTGTGCGATGCACGCACCTGATCTTGGCGGTGAACTGCACACTCGTCTTGATGACCAGTGGCCTCTGTGGATGCGTGGGCATGCACGGTTGGCATTCCACCACGAAGGCGCTGAGGTCATTCACGTGGGTGGACAGTCACACAAGCGAGACAGATGAGCAACAGAGTAACATGAGAACCTACCCTCCTGCAGACTGCACCCAACAGCTACCATAAATCAGTTGCTGCATGGCGAGACTGTACCAGCAGGAAAACACCCATTTCACAGGTTCTGAAGGATATGATTTAGTAACGAGAGCTAACCCAAAAAACCCCTATTATGGATATTGGTCGCAAAAGCCTATGTGTTAAACTAACGCGGTGTGAGTTGCATGGTACTTCGTTATCAATATGAAAGTAACAACAGCTTTATCAAAGTGGTAAACCTCTCCTGTTTGTTTCTAGAGTAGTGGATAATCTAGAAATATGTTCCATTTGTGAAAGGTTAAAATGTTGTTTTCTTCTTCGAGCATTAAAAAACACGAAACTAGTAATCGTGTGCTTTGTTGCAGGCGATATGAAGTTGAAGGCTTTGGACAATTTCAATCAGGAGCTACTGTCCAATCGTTGTTGCAGGTTTAATTGCAGCAATGGCTGTGCACATGAGTGTTCAGTGCTTTATCGCACAACAAACAGAGGCCATAGAAATGAGACCTAAGTAATTAAATCTCAGGATAATCTTATGGTGAAGATGTTCATGTGTTTTTTTTTTACTGTGCACAAGCTTGCTTGGGTATGGAGCAATATGGTACTGTAATAATTGTTAATAATAATAAATCCCTTGTCAATCTACTAGTGGATTAAGGCTTCCCCATGGGATGTCAATTTTAGGGGTCATTTGACCATATTTCACCATGCTGGTCAGTATGGGTTGGTGAAGGGAGGGAGGGCTGGGTGGCAGTACTGGTTCAGATATCATTTCGCCACTGATATTAGACGTGGCCGGAAATCTAACTTAGACACTGGATTCGGAGTGTAGTGCGCTAACCACTGCATCACCACTCACAAGTGTATTGACGTAAATGGGGTCACTATGGCGTTAAGCGCCAGCTACTGTAACAAGAGTGGAACTGTGCGTCTTGAGCCTCTCTCTGGCACCAGAGTGGGTATGGCATGGAAGCGGGCTCTAGGGGGCATGGTTCTGCTGAGGGTCACAGAGAGGGCAGTTGAGGACGTGACAGTCTGGGTGAACCCGAGAGGGCACGTCACAGGAGAGGGTAGCGAGGGGGGCCAAAGGGTGGCAAGAGGGACACGTGATGTATGGCCCAGAGCCTTCTAGTAGGATCTAGAAGGATCTAGAAGGGGGCATGGCCGAGGGCGGAGCCAGGCCACGCTCAGAGGCATAAAAGGGAAGTCCCGATCTGGGCTGTCTGTTGGAATGGAACCCGTCGGTGCTACGTCTCTTCGATCCTCGGTCCTTGGTTTTTACTCTCGGCATCGTGGGTCAGGCAGTGTGTTATTGACTGACCCGGTTATATAGTTACCCCGTTGTGGTATAGTTAACCAAGTGTACGTTTATGCAGTTAGCCTGTTGGGATGTTATAATAAACGTGTTGCCTCCAAGTTCTAGTGTGTGTCTCCGTAGAACCCACTACACAAGTATAAAGACATTGCTGCAACACTTTGTGGAATGAACCTTATTATCAGACCAGGTTCCATGCATTAAAGTATTCATTCAATACATATGTTGGTAACGCTTTTATATTTGATGAAATAAAGCAAAAGTCATACACAGCAATGTGTGACCACCACATGGGTTGGGGCGATGAGATGAGCCAATGTGCAGGGACAAGATGGATGACGACGACGACATTGCAAGATCGAGAGGCAATGGCAAAAACATGGGAAGACCTTCATCCAGCAGTGGGTTCATAATGATTTCTTTCACACAAAAAATCCAGGATTCATAAAAAATAAATACTAAAACCATTGTGAGGTTGTATTGCTGGACATTTGAAAAAGAGCTTTACAGCTCATCGGATTCCTCCAGTATAAATCAATATTCTGATCACGTGACTGATGCGCGAAATAATAGAAGCAGGCGATTCTTCTGTTGAAATAGCAAAAAAATATATATTTTTTGTTCAATACGCATGGCTTCAAATACACGCAGTGTGGTTGTGGGTTTCGAGCCTGTGACAGCGTGCGGTGCGTACTTGTTGAAGAGAGCCTGCAACAGGTTGCTGGTCTTTTCTTCCAAGTCGCCCTTGTATGAAACAATGGGGTCCCCTTTGTAGGTCACCTTCTGCTGCAGCTCCTCCAGCTTCCTGAGCTGCCTCAGCACCTGCAGCAGTGCCTCTGCCAACTCGGTGTACCTATAATGCGCACACAACAAAGACAACGATCCCCCACACACGCACACACAAGGTGTGTGTTTCAGACCTCGTCACTGTGCAAAACAATGCTCTCAGTGCGCGGCCAGGAAACGTTTAAAGGTTGTTCCTCCACATGTATCAAACACACAGGACAATTCATTTATATATACTCCACTGATCATTTTACTTTCTTCTCAACAGGTGATTTAATGTTGTGAAAAGTGATGCCTCTAAATCTTACAGACGAGCATTTTAGAAGATGTTTAACACATAGGCTTTCGCGACCAATATCATCCATAACAGGTTTTTCTTTGGGGTTAGATCGTGTAAATATAAATGTGTCGTTAAACCCGCCACCACCCCACACAGCCAATTAGTAATGTTTGTCACGTAAACAGAACATGCCAATTCGTTACTACAACAGCACGCCGGTGTGTTGGACAGCAAATCAAAACATTTACAATCCAGAGTACGACATTGCGCCACAACTCACTTCATCAGACGGCCAAACCTGTTGAATTGCATTTATTTGCCATAGGCATCACCAATCCCCCGGGCTTTTGGGAGTAACGTGAAAACCAGTTGGGCAACCTTCCTCAGCAAGGTACACCACCACGTGTTTAAGGGCATAGCAACCTTTAACCTATATTCGTTTTACTTTTCCGTGAAATCTAAAGCCAGCAGGGTTCCGTTTATCGTTCCCCACTACTGTGTATAGTATTGGTATAACCCTAATGTAGCTGCTTTGTCACGCGTTAGCATTGTCATGAGCAATAGTTAATTAAAACAGTCCTGTTCATGTGGCTGGAAAAGGACAGCGGGTTTATGCAGGGATGATTACGTTGCATTTTTATGAGGAGAGTGGTGGAATAGTGATTTATAAGATCCAGTTGAGCTGGGTTCATTTCTCAGTTACTTTACAGAGATTTTGAGCCAGCTGGTCAGGAGTGTGCAAGGGCATATCCAGGTAACCATCGAGCACAGAGTTAGATATGTCTTAGCTTGTCACGATAACAACAATTTCATATATTTAAGAGCACACAATGAAAAACTAATTTACATTTAAGATGAATTTAAATATTTTTTTACTTCAAATCGTGACAATGACTTTTATACTGTCAGTGCCAGATATGGGAGTCATGCTGTTCATGACTAGCTTAAAACAACTCAGCCTTGGCACCTCCGATTAGCACGGTTGGCTACATATGGTGCGAAAAAAATTCAACATACATACAGTCTCAAAATAAACAGTTCGTGCAGTTGTTTAACTGTAGTACTGGTGAGACAGAGAATGATGGGTGTGATGCGTGTGAACAGCACTTGTGCCTATAATGAAAAGCCTGAGGGACATTTTTTGTGATGTATTCTAATCCATTGAATTGCCACACATCATTGGCATTCAAAATATGTATTTACAGACAAATGATTGCTCAACGAAGTGGCTTAATCACGTGGAAATTTATTACAGCCAAATACTCTTGAATGAATGTTGATTCTAAATGTGGGGGGGAAAACCGGAGGACCCGGAAAAAATCCACACGACCACGGGAAGAATAAGCAAACTCTAAATATACATGCAGGGTCAGGATCGGACCCATGACCTCCTGTAGACCTGACGAGGTAGTTAACAGGAAACACTTCAACCAGTCTCAAGAATCATTTTAGAAGGCTCTTCTTGCATTTGGATATTTGGCCAATACCATGATCAAGCGGCTTGTGGGAAATAACCGCAGCTCTTGGAGAAAACTCATCCTTGCCACATCAACAGTATTTATCGGCAGGAGTTTGCTTGTGAAACGTGTGCATGATAGAACAGGTGTGCGGCCTGAAAACTTAAAGTTCACAGCTCTGGAGTATTTTAAGACTCGTTTATGAAAATCTGTATTTGCATCGGTACTTGGAGAATAATGGTAGTTCCTGCTTTAGCAGAGCAAAAATACATAAAATTCTTACTGAAGGCTCCCAGAGATGAGATTTTACGACACAACATCCCCGGACCAGTGGTGCTGCCAGGCCAAGCAGCACAAGAAGCATCCCCGTCCTAGAAAATCAAGTGAAGTGCTTGCAGAGTGCAACCTCACTGCCACTGTAGTCTACCTGCAAATATAATTTCTTGGGTAAGACACCATCAGTTCAAAATCACGGTGCTTTCCTGTTTTAATTAACATTAGGGTGGTGATCATCTCCTGTTTACAAATTCCACATTCCTATGGTGGAGGCGGGACTATCTACAAGACAACCACTGTTGACTTCCCTCCACACAATTGGTACTTATTTTAACCGACCGCAGAGGGTTTATGGGCCGAGTCAACCCCCCGGCCGGGAACTGAACTTGCAACCTTACGATTGCGAGCCACTCAACGCGACCGCTGAGCTACCTGGCCAGATTTATTCACCTGATCATTGTGCAATTCAGGTGGGGGAAAAGCAGGCATCATGCAGCAAGCGGGCACGTGCGACTTGGCAAGAGGGCGAGTGGGAGGGTGTGTACCACTTCTCCAGGTGGTCGAGGCAGATGTTGGGTGGGCCGCCGATGCAGCCGAGCTGCTGCCTCCGCTTCCACTCGTTCAGCTCTTCCAGCAGCGGCTTGGTGTGGACATAGTCGGCGATGGCCAGCAGCTCTGTCATCGATTGCAAGATTTGCTGCGTCGCACAGAGACATAAGATCACCTGAAGGATTCTACGGATTGTTGGGGCGAGTCCTGTTAGCGAGCACCTACGAAGGCCGGCACGGCACACGAAGGGGTGGGTGGTCAGAACCACACCCCCGACCCCCTTTGATTCCCTGGTGGCGATGTTTAAACATCACACAAGTATTCATAATCAACGGTTTTGTGTTTAGATCGCGTTATTTATAAATGTGTCGTAACCCTCCACCACCCGACACGGCCAATCAGTAAAAAAGTGTCACGTTGACAAAAGACAATTAGTTCACTGCTTTAGCCCACCGGTGTGTTGAAGCGTGAAACCACAACATTTACAATTTGAGTACGACGTTTCGCTCGTAATTGCATCCAGCATCATCGGGCAATTCGCCAAAAACGTTGATTATGAATAATATTGGTCGCGAAAGCCTACGTGTTAAACTGATCACACAAGTACTCATTTCAGGCCGAGTTAACTTAGGCAGGAGGCCCTGAATGGGTAGATATATACGGTGCATCTCTGTAATTTAGCAATGTTGACCGTGATCGGGATTTTAACTCGGGTCGTCGGGCTTCGTAGCGCAATTTGCTCACCACTACCCGACCGCTCGCCATAATTAAGCAACAAATCGCAACCCACCGCAATGCATACGCGTGGCTTGATATGAATGTGCAGATTTACCACAATTGCAGAGCCGCCTAATGTGGTCAAACCCAGAACCAGATCATTCTGTGTCCCTGACGTGGAGACCGAGATTGCCGCGACACGTTTTGCTGTAGGGTCCGCACCTTGCGATTCTGGTCCAGGTTCTGCAGCATCACCTGCAGCCGTGCCATCTGCTTCTTGGAGTCCCCCTGCCCGTTGGGCTTGCCGTTCTGTGGCGACGGCTGCTGTTTTGACAAGAGACTGGCGCTATTGCTCTCTGGACCGTCTGTGGTGACACAAGAATCCAGCCACGTGTTCAATGAAATCAAACACACACAATATAAAATATGCAAATACTTTGAAAGTGGACAGTTTAAAAAAAAAGACAAAACTGGATACATTTTTCATCTAGAAGTCAATTTCTAAGAGACTTAAGACTGAAAAATGTTGTTAAAAGCCCCCACCGAAGAATAAGAAAATAGAACAGTGGTCAAAAAACAGCCCAGTAGCTGATACAATAATGTAGGCAATGCCCACGTTTTGAGAACATTTGTCCTCACCTTTGGTCTGAAAGTCTTTGTAGCGGAAGTCAAACTCATCCTGACAATTTTCCAGGGATTTTATATTTTGCTCCGTCACCTGAAGGCACATATCAACATATGAACACATATATAGTGCAGTACCATTTATTTGACTAAACAACATTTTTTACAAATGTAATTTGAGAACTCTTATAACTCATTAATCTCCTATGAAAATATATCACTAGGTTTACTGTTCGCCAACAGCATCCCAATAGTTTACTACTATTACGTCTTTTAATGAGCACACTACACATTCACACCTGCACGTGCATGAACATGAACACAGATAAATCTATAAGTTTCCATTTTATTTCTCACTATCTTTACTACCCGGCTTCGCCCGGGCTTGGATTCTTGTCTTGGATTAATACACGGCCTACGCGGAGAGTTGGGGGGGGGGGGATGCAGTGACGTCAGTAGGCACACTGCGTGACGCTGCCGCATGCGGGTGACATCACAGATGTGACGTCACCGCTCACTTGCCGTGCAAAATATATCCATTATTGCGCCCCCCCCGCCCCCCAAAATACAAAAGTCTATTTTTATACTTTTTGCATTGTGTACAGTCTGGAAGCTACCCACATGCCAAATAGTCAAGTTTGTTGCATGTCGGGAAGTATGCTAAACATTTCGAACAGACACACATATTCACAAATTTCCCTTTTATATATATAGATATGCAAGTGCACATCCGTGCAGTAACATCATCATCGTGTCTCGACTGATCCAGATCCATTCACTCGGGCTCCATACAAGCCTAGTTTTACAGCACCACTCTCCACAGGTGTTATACCTGCACGCGTTTCTTGACCTCTGCGATGGTTAGTTCCAGGTTCTTCTGCTTCTCAGACTGGATGGAGCTCTGAGGTCGATACTGCTGACCTTCAGCCCCCTGTGGCAGAGACAAGAAAAGTGTCATGGCCATGGACGAACGTCCATACTCACAATCGGTAGTGACCAGTAATGGTGAGTCCATGAGTAACTATCTGTACATGAAGTACGATGCACTTCATTGCATCTATTAACCAATTAGATAGGCTGCAAAACTGGTCAAGTTGTTGCATTAAAACACTTTCACAATCATGCTTTTTATTTACCGAGGAAAGCCTTACCCAGTCGTTCGGGTTGTTTCAGAGAATCCTGATTTGGAGAACACCCATGCATGCGAGGGGATAGCAAGCAAAGAGCTTGGCACCGATGTACTCAATAATGATTTACTGACCACATCACAGCCCAAGCCTACAACATCTGGTATTTCCAGGGAGTCTCCCTATCAAGCAATAACCAGGCTTGGTACCTGATTAGCTGGTTAGATAGATCGGGTGCATTCAGGGCGATTTCATTTTTGGGGTGATGTGGTCATCGTTAAATGCATGTGCCGTTAGAGGAAATCGGAGTTTCAGGAGAACATGGACTCGCACAATGCAGCAATATTTTAACTTTGAAACAAATCTTTACTGAAGTGACCTAGAGGTAAATCTTTGCAATTCACCATTGTCTCTGCATTTACATGCTGAAGAGTGAATAGGAAACAATAGCAAAAATAACGGCAACCTTTACAAGTGATGCATGAATGCACGCAAGTTCAACTCACCATGTGGGCCTTGTTCGCTCTATCTAAGATGTGCTGCTCCTCCTGCAGGCACTGAGATATGAGGGAAGCCATCTGGGTGGGGTTCTCCAGGTACTTTGCCTGTGGAACACATATATACAGAGACAGATAACTTGCTTGGCATTATATGGCTGGTGGGGGAAAGTCCTGTTCGTGAGCACTGTTACTGTTGTTTGCACATTTCATCAAGCACTAATTTAAGGCTGAGTCAAATTAGGGGAGGCACAGGACAGGTTCATATTCCCGACGTAAGTGAAGGTGTGTGTGTGCCCAGGAATTGCATCAAGAGTAGAGAATTGTAGCTCAGTGCGCTAACAACGATGCCACCACTCCCTACAAACACAAATATCCCTCATATAGCCTTAACAGGACAAGTGTTGTTAGAAGTACCTATGAAGGCCGGCAAAGCACCCGAGGGGATGGGTGGCCAGCACCACAGGCTGGCCACCTTTGTCTCCCTAGTGCTGATGTTTACACACCGCACCAGGTACTCATGTGAGGCCGAGTCGACCTAGGGGAGGCCCAGGACCCATTCAGAAAACCGTCACTGGTGTTGGCAGTGAGCGGGAATGGAACTCGGATGCCCGGGTTCATAGTGCAACACGCTAACAGTTGCACTACCGCTCCCCTACAAACACACACACACACACATCTATTTGAAAGCAAATGTCCACACAGACCTTGGCTTATGCACAAATACCTGTTTACTGCTTGTCCTTGTGAATGTATTCACACCGTTGGTGTGTGCATATGGAGTTGTGTTTGCAGTTGGGCTTAGGCTCAGCCAGGCACCTGAATGTTCTGTTTTATCTTGCGCAGGTTGTGCTGCAGAAGCAGGTTGTGCTCGGAGGAGAACCGTCCATACTGCACGTCCAGCTGGCTCAGCAGAGTATGCAGCAGCAGAGAAGCCTGCGACGGATCGCTCGCTGCATGGCTCCTGGAACCACATGTCCCACGCAAATCACCGATTTGGAAAAGCATTGCCGCTATCGAGTTTCAATGAAAGATTTTAAAGGCAAATCGGACCAGGTTGCTGTAAATCATTGTCGTAATCATCATCATCATCATTGGGCCATCGTCAGTGTGCAGCGTTGGCATAACCGGGCTCCTCACCAGTCCTGTCCTTCGATCCAGGGGGCGATAAACTGCCGCACCTCCATGGGGAAGCTCTCGTTGTAGAGCTGGTCCAACAGCTCCAAGTACTTCATGTCCAGCTGCTGGAGCTTGTTCCACTGCGCCATGATGTTTCCTCGTAGACTGGGGATTTGTGCACAGCGATGGCGAGATGTTAACTACCTCACCTGGTAAACAAGGAGGTCGTGGGTTCGATCCCGACCCTGCATTTTTCTCCGGCTCCTCCGGTTTTTCCCTCCACATTTAGAATCAATGTGAGTTTAGAGCATTTGGCTACTATAAATGTGCACATGATAAGCCACTTCGTTGAGCTATAATTTGTAGCCAGATCGCTTCTGAAAAATTGCTATATAGCTCAGCGGGCCTTACCTGGTACAATTAAAATAGTTTGCAGTTTAAATATTATAATTGGTTCTTTACCCTTCTATCTGGCAACAAAACTGACACCTTTTTGCAAGGAGTCATGTTTGCATAGACCGCAATACCTGCAGTCATAATACAAACAAAAGAACATAACTCTGATAATGTGCACTGTCCTTGAAGTTGATTGGTCCACACCCGAGACAGCTTTCCTTCGAGCCTAGTCTCATATGGGTTGGACCAGATGACGCCAAAAGGCGCACAACTCAAAGAACATAACAGAGTTGTTCTTTTGTTTGTATTATGACTGCAGGTATTGCGGTCTATGCAAACATGACTCCTTGCAAAAAGGTGTCAGTTTTGTTGCCAGATAGAAGGGTAAAGAACCAATTATCATATTTTTACTGGCAAATGAGGTCCCCATAGTTTAAATATTGTTTGAGTTTATGTACAAGCACTGGCTTATCTCCTGTTTAGAGGAGATCGTGTTTAAGTCAGAAAAGGGAAGAATGTTACAAGTTCGTCTCAGGCTCAAACCAATTAGAGGAGTTAACCCGGAGGCGTCTGTCAAAGTTGCTCACAGTTCAAGCAAGCAATGCAACAGCACTTATCTCTATTTGATACACCGAGTCAGAGGTGAAAGCTCCACATTTCCACTGGCGGAGTCAGTGGGGGGGGGGGGGGGGTTGGCACGTGCCGCCCCAATGATCCGATCAAAATCCCTAATTTCAATCGGATCACTGAGGTTGATTAGTAATAAATCGGCATTTTGCGACCACACTGCCACTGTGTAGCATATTATGTGCCAGGGACTATATGAGATGATAGGATAATAGTCCGAGTCCATAATTGGCAATAAGTAACGGCAAAGCAGTTGTGACTCAGAATTGTGCGCAGTCGCGTATACAGTACACGACTTCCCTGAAGGCATCAACACCTTCAGCGAGCGCGATGCCGATCACACACGATTCGAATTTGACTTTCGATGGATGGCTGCGCCATCACCGCACACGCGTCGAATAAAAAGCAAGGGACAAGTCCTTACTAACAACTCCTATCATTTTTCATTGCTGGAGGGGTTGCCCCCCCCTACCTAAAAATCCTGGCTCCGCCATTGCACATTTCTATGGCAGGGATCAGTCTCCCCATACACAAACATGATACCCATTGTAGTGTCCCCAGATAAATTATAGGTTAATTTGAGGCACGACTGGCATTTGAACTTGCAACTAGCCGATTGGAAATTTAGCAAATATACAATGGGAATTCACATTTGGGATTTCAGCTATTAGAAGTGCAAATAATGGTCCGCTGTTGTGAAATCTGTGATTGGGCCATCGTTATATATAGTAGATGGTATGTTCTAATAAGCAGGGTTGGAAATGAGAATAATTTACTGGGGGAACTCGTAAATGATTCCCCCCACCTCCCACTAAATCTGGACGTACACTATATCTTAGGAGGAGCTTTGCTTCATCTGTGGGCCTCTGTTTGTCAGTGGGCCTCTGTGCGTTTCTGTGGGGATCTGTGTGCATCTGTGGGCCTCTATGCGTGTATATGAGTCTCTGTGCATTTCTCTGGGTATCTGTGTGTCTCTGTGTGCGTTTGTGAGTCTCTGGACATCTGTCCGTGGGTTTCTGTGATCATCTGTGTGCATCTCTGGGTCTTTGTGCATGTCTGTGGGTCTCTATGCATGTCTGTGACTCTCTATGCGTGTTTGTGGGTCTCTGAGCATGTCTGTGGGTTTATGTGCATGTCTGTGGGTCTCTCTGTTAATCTAGGCGTCTTTCTGTGAGTAAAGAAAATAAAAATATGAATCCTTGATTCCTTCCGGAAAGCAGTCGGGTTCAAATTGTTACTTCCATCATGGTGTTCCGGGGCATTCCGGCCCATTTCCACCACTGCTGATAAGGCCACACAGCTTTATTGGTCAGTTGCTGGTATTTAGTTATTGCAAAACAGACGACACAGTGCTAATACACTTGCTACGATATCCAGCAACTAAACTGTCTGAATCCCCCAGACAAAAAAAATATTATATTAAAACATAAAGTAGAGCATTATTATAGTGCTTTATTATGTCATGGCACCCTTGGTGAAGAAGAAAATGTGTGTAACCGAACCGGATGACAGAGTCATATGTTCTGGTAGATGCCATTTGGAAAATGACCATCCAGTGGCCTTCTAATTTAAGCATGTGCCTCCATGTGTAATCATCGTAAACAGCAGTACTACCTACTCTATGGAACAGAATGCAAAAAAAGAACGTAATGAATGCCTTGGGATATCCAAAATATGTAATACCGAAGCCATCAACAGAAGCTTAACTGCACGTGTGGTAAATGCTATGTTGGGCAAACAGGACGAATGATGAGCACGAGACTAAAAGAACATCAGAGAAATATTATATTCCCCCAAATGCAACTGTCAGCAGCATCAGCAGAACACGCGTGCCAACAAGGAGTTATGCCTAAAGAATGACCACGCTGGGCATGGCATGAAGAAGCGTTTATTTAGTAGTGATTTAACAAAGCAATAATTATGATGCTGGACTATTTTCCTGGATGGTTTTGACAGATCGAATGGTATTCATCCATAACAGCTTGGCTACTTGTCCACATTGTCCTGGCGATAATCCCAATACAAGAAAACAAAAACCTTTACTCTGGCCATATTCCACCCTGCTGGTTAAGTCTTCACAGTACTGAATTGTATCACCCCATTGCGTATGTTTCGTGGAAAATAATTTACACGGTAAATAAGTCATCATGGATGCTGCATGGTCGAAGGTAATTTCCAAAACGTCTTACTGAGGCCACCGTAGAGAGCGGGAAGAGCTGTGAGTACTGAATGCGTGTTCCAGCAAATTTCCAATCACGCTACATCCATAGCAATGCGCGGCACATGCATTTGGTATGAGCTTGATGAGTCTTGCCAACGGGTGTCAACATATCCCGGGAAAGTTGTGGCTACAATCGTGGTGGGCAGTTAGGGCAAGAGCCTACTGTACAGTAGTACAAGCAACTTACTTTGAATATATAATTAACTAGCCTTTTGCCCGTCCAAGGACGGGTGTATTTCAGTAAATCTGAAACTTGCAAGCGAAAAGCAGACCGCGACGTGATATTCATTGCATCAATTCGTGTGCAATTTGTAAGGCCGCGATGACACAGACTCATTTCATTTAAAGGTTATAATCCCTTGTTCATCATGACGTCCTTTTTACTTTGATGTCTCAACAGCGTCACGGAGATTACGTGACGTGAGGGTTCTGCCTTTGTAGTGAGGGTTGTAAGTTGACGCCAATGAGGGGGGACGATGCGCCTCGCCACCCCCCCCCCATGTGGAGTGCCGTCATCCACTAATTATTATTAATGGTGGGGGGTGCTACATGTGGAGTGACGTCACCCGCTCATGATTATTAATGAGGGGGGGGGTCCATGTGGAGGATGCCACCTGTTCATGATTATTAATGAGGGGGGCTGGCCGACGTGAGTGACGTCACGCGCAGGACACACAAACATTATTGGCTCATTATACAGTAAAACCTTGGATTGCGAGTGACTTGGTCTGCGAGTGTTTTGCAAGACGAGCAATTTTTTTTAACAAATATTAATTTGATAAACGAGCGAGGTCTTGCAATACGAGTAGTACGTGTATACGCTTTGTCTGCCTAGCGTCACGTGATCACAACTGATATACGAGTGCTTTGATATACGAGTGCTTTGATATACGAGTGCTTTGGATTACAAACACTTTTCCGGAACGAATTATGCTCGCAATCCAAGGTTTTACTTTAGTAGGAAATGACCACCCTTTCCACTGCACTGTTCACACAGTGCTGGATTATCTTAGGAGCAAAAGTCGCTACATATGTAGCTACGGGCCCCGACCTTTCAAGGGCCCCGCCGCTAAATGCTTTCAAGCTATCAATTCCGGTTCAGAAATTCTGCACTTGCTCTATTGCTATAGCACTATACCGCCTTCAACTTGTATGAACGACTGAGTGTTTAAGGTTAGCGATTTGTCGTATTATCTGGCTGTATTGCAAATGAAATAAGTATAACCCGTTAAAAACAAAATTTTTCACTCTAAATCCCTTATATGCGTGGCGGCTAGAGTCCTCTCGTCCTCTGGCTTGAGATGGCTACCACCTATTGGTCAGATAATTGTCTGCCAGTATTAAACAATTGGTAATTAAATATTTAATTTGTTTTCCCTAAACAGTGTAAAATTTTGGAAAAAAAATTTCACGAACATTAATTGTCTCGGCACAACGAGTCTGTGTGCAAAATGTCAGCTCGATTGGATCACGGGAAGTGGGTTAAAAAACGACCGAAAGATTTGCACGGTCGTAAGCAAGCAAGCAAGTGAACTTAATATAAAGGATTTAATAAAGGATTAAAAATACGATTATTTTACTATGCAAGTAAAACAATATTATGTTTTTATATTTACGTTTTTTATTTATTTAGGGCCCCTCTATAACATATGCTACAGATCCCGCACTAGCTTAATCCGCTTGTGCCTGGACTTGTAAGCGACAATTGTAGTCTGTGTTGCCAGCAAGTAGCCACGCGTGCGAGTACACCGACACGAGCAAAACATTCACAAACATTCACAAACATTCCTTATCCACGGCACACACTCAGCACACGACAGGGCAAACTTCCAGCCTCAACAGCGCCGTGTCTGCCGCCGCAGTTGACATTGTTGTTGTTGTTGTTATTATTGACGCCGCTCCACAATGTTTGACGGCAAAGCGTCGACTTACACACACGGACGGTCGGCGAAGTTTGTGAACGTAACGATATGTTGTGTGGGGGGGGAGGGGGGGGGTTGAAAAAGAGTAAAAAATAAGCTGTTAAAAATCAGAAGACTTAGTAGGAAGTGCGCGCGTGTGGGTGTCCCTCTCACCTATTCTTGGTGCGCTCACGAAAGCTGCTCCCCGAGAGAGACAAAGACGGCCGCGGCGGTGGCGGCAACAACAGCGTCGGTCGCACCTCACTCAGTGCAGTGCGTAAGTGTGCAAGTGAAGTACACGCGAGTGCAGTGCAGTGCGTAAGTGTGCAAGTGAAGTACACGCGAGTGCAGTGCAGTGCGTAAGTGTGCAAGTGTGTACGTGAAGTTAGACGCGGAAGGTTGAGCGACGGCGGCTCGCGGATGAGAATGATGGGGGGGGGGAGTGACGTCACGTCGCGTTCCGGGAAGCGGGAGCGGCCACCAACGAGAAACGTCGTCACGAGCGGCGCCCCTCCCCCCCTCCCCTCTCACCCCTCCCCTCTCACCCCTCCCTTACCACCCTCCCTCCCCCCCTCCCACCCCTCCCCCTCCCTCCCCTCCCTCCCCTCCCCTCTCACCCCTCCCCTTACCACCCCCCCTCCTCCCCTCCCTCATCCCCCTCCCTCCCTCCCTTACCCCCCTCCCTCCTCCCCTCCTCTCACCCACCCTCCCTTACCACCCCTCCCTCCCTTACCACCCCCCACCCCTCCCCTCCTACCCCCCCCTCCCTTACCCCCCCTCCCACCTCCCTCCCTTACCTCCCCACCTCCCCTCCCTAACCACCTCCCCCCTCCCCTCCCTTACCACCCCCCACCCCTCCCTCCCCTCCCTTACCCCCCCACCCACTCCCCACCCCTCCCTTACAACCCCCCCTCCCCTCCCTAACCACCTCCCCTCCCTTACAACCCCCCCTCCCTTACCACCTCCCACCTCCCCTCCCTTACCACCCCCCCTCCCTCCCCTCCCTTACCACCTCTCCCCCTCCCCTCCCTTACCACCCCCCTCCCTCCCTCCCTTACCACCCTACCACCCCCCCCCCCTTATAATCCCCCTTACCACCCCCCCCCCCTTATAACCCCCCTTTCCCCCCTTACCACCCCCCCCTTATAATCCCCCTTACCCCTCTTACAACCCCCCCTCACAATCCCCCTTACCACCCCCCCCTAATAATCCCCTTTACCCCCCTTACCACCCCCCCCCTTACAACCCCCCTTACCACCCCCCCCCCCTTACCACCCCCCTTACCACCCCCCCAGTCGGTGTATCATCACAAAGGGCAGAACCAATGGCAGCCTGCGGGGGGGTTTGGGGAGGGGGCATCCACGGGCACCGCTTCGCATTGGCAGACGTTCAACTTGGGGCTGTGGGTGAGATGGAGAGTTGTCGTGCGCTACGACACCGGTGACGATTGTCTGAACTGGTCCTGGGCCTCCTCCCCTAGGTCGACTCAGCATCGAATAAGTGCCTGATGCGGTGTGCGAACATCGCCGCTGTGGGGAGACAAAGGCGGCCGGGCGTGGTATTGTCCTACCCACCCTCGTCGTGTGCCGTGCCGGCCTTCATAGGTGCTCGCTAATAGCACTTGCCCCAACAGTCTGTTGAGCCTATAGGGGGAGGGGGGGTCTTTGTTTTGTCCACGTGATTTCTGTGTACGTGATTGATTGTGAGCGGCAAGGCCGTAGCCATGGAGTCAACATTGGGGGGGACCAAATCTTCCAGGGTGTCTGGGGGTCCCAACCCTGAAAAATATCTAAATTTTAAAACTAATTTCCTGCCTAAAATATAAAAAAATTCAGTAACACATGGGATGTACTTTTTTTTGTAACAATAATGTCTAAAAGTATATTGTATTAGATTGCTCGGTTTTACTTTTTTACCATTTCTTGTTTCATCGTATGTAATGGCAGAGATTAGGGATTAATAAAGTACAACCATAACCACAATCATATAAACATAAATCTATGCATTGATTTATATGAAGACAAGTCCAGATATTGTGGCCAAGGTTGAGCAAATTGTTTTTTATTTACATAGAGTAGCATAGAAATTATTTATTTGCGCGCCAATTCCCCGCACTACGGGGAGCTGAACGTCGACCGGATTCACGCGCAAAACCCGGGTACAATGATGGAGGAACGTCGACGGGATTCGGGCATAGTCGGCAGGATTCGCGCGCAAACCCCGGGTGAAATGACAGAGGAACGTCGACGGGATTTGCGCGTAAAAACCGGGCACAATGGCGAATTATTACCGACGACACTCGCGCGTCAATCCGTTGCGCAACCGCGCGTGGTTAGCGTGGCGCAAACGCAACGACAATCGAATCGAGGTTGCCTCGTGTATTTCACCCGTTACTCACACCTGCACTGCACCACTCCCAGCCCCTCTCCACACCCACAGAAATCACACAACGTCGGTATTTTATGCTAGAGTTTATTCCCGACGCGCGGTGGGGGAACGCCGAACAACAGATCTGCGGGTAGACGAGACTCACGACCAAACCTCATTAGGAACGGGGTCTGTCCCGTAGAAGTGTACCGTGGTGGCGTAGGCAAAACAGGGCATAGGGGAGGTGTTCGTCCGAATCCTGGTGATTGGCGGCCACCATACGTTTGAGCTTCCCGGCTAAGGTCTGGTTCATACGCTCCACCATGCCATTCGCCTGGGGGTGGTACGCCGTAGTTCAGTCGTTTTGGATTCCGAACTCCCGGCACAGCGCCTGAAATAGCTCTGCCTCGATCTCGCTACGTTGGTCAGTAATTACTCGTTCGGGGATTCCATGTTTAAGCACGTAGTGCTCCACGAATGCCCGGGCAACCACCAGGGCCATTTTATCAGGGATGGCCACCGCCACGGGATAGCGTGTGAAATACTCCACCGCTACGAGGATATACCGGTTGCCTCGCTGGGATTGTGGGAATGGCCCCTGTAGGTCGATCCCTACTAGCTGGTTCGCCCAGCTGACGCGGAACGGCCTCAGGGGCACCTGATACCGCGCCGGTTTCTTCCCACACTGCTGACAAGCGTGACAGCCCTGTGGGCCAGAGATACTGGTGACGCAGGGTCTCCCGAGTGCGCCGTTCCCCATCATGGCCCCCGAGCGGGTGGTCATGCACCAGCCATGGCAGCTGGGGCCGCACCTGGCGGCTTCCGGACACGGTCCAGATGCGTGATAGGATGCTCGACATCATGCATGATGAATGGGGGCGCCTCCAGATGGAGGACGCCTCCCTGCTCAAACTGCGGCACCGTGTCGGCAAGGCAGAGGGTCAGGGGAACAGGGGAGGGGTATCTCCTGTGATCCTTAATGGGGGCTTGCTGATGAGATGGGACGAGGAATCCCATCGATATGCCATTGTGGTGCCATCCGTTCTGCAGGGGAAGGTTATACGTGGGGATCACGAGCGGTTAATGCACCTTGGCGTCCAAAAAACATTGGCTACTCTAAAATTGCACTTTTTCTGGTCCGGCATGGCTGACGACGTTTATAACGTGCTGCAGGGTTGCACAGACTGCGCTCGCCGCAAACCTCCGCCGAAAACGGATCGTCCACCGCTGAAATCCATATGTGTTTCCATGGTAAACGAACTCGTCGCGCTCGATGTTCTCAGTCCGTTCCCCATCACCCTGCGGGGGAATAAATATTTATTGGTCGGGGTGGAGTACTTGTCGCGTTGGCCGATCCAGTCGGTGGAAACCATCACGAACGCGTTCCTTCATGGCTACGTATTGGACAAAGGCGCCCCTGAACGTCTCCTGACGGACCAGGGCAAACATGTTTCATCCAAGCTGTTGAAGGAAGTGTGCGGACAATTGGGTACCAAAAAGGTGCGTACTTCGCCTTATCACCCCCAGACTGACGGTATTGTTGAGAGGTTACACAGGACCCTGACTTCAATGTTGTGCCAATGTGTCAATGAAGCCCAGTCGGACTGGGACTTGCATGTTCCAAGTGTGTTTACTGCATATAGTTCCGCCCTGCACATTTATTCCGGATTCTCTCCGTTCTTTTTCACGTATGGAAGGGAGCGTGACCCACCAATTGATGTGCAGCTGAAGCCGCTGCAAGATTGTAAAAAGATGCCGAACCCCATGAGCCTTACCCTACAGCAATTGGCAGAAGCCAGGGAGGCGTCCCAGGGGAACTTGGCCTTGCGGCAGGCGGCCAATGAACGGCTTGTCATACCCCGCCAGTCCACACATCAATGGACGCCAGGGGATAAGGCTTGGCTTCATTGCTCCATGTCCCCATGGGTACATCCCCGAAATTACACAAACCATGGCAGGGCCCCGTCGAAGTAGTGCAGGTGAGGAGTCCGCAATGCGTGCGGATTCAGTGCGGTCGCAGGCACTGGTTTGTGTACCCATCGCGTCTAAAAGTTTTTTTTCACCGGCCGTTGGGCCTTCATCTCCATTTCCCGAGGACCAGGTGTCTGGTCAGTCCAATGAGCTGGGGCGTGCGTCGCCTGAGGCCCTGCCTGAGGATGGTTCTATCATTCCGCCCACAGGGTCCAAGCGCCTAACGCCCTCAACATCACTGTTCGTGCCGGCCGGGGGCGGACGGGGGAGTTCGGAGCTGCCATCGCCCGACCCCCCACCACATGGCGATTCTTCATTTGGGGAGGTGCCGTGCTCATCGGGTCATCTTCCGCCTGTTCCCGGAGCCTCCAGGGAGCCCGCACCCACCTCGCTGGAAGGCCCGGCAACAAGGACACAGTCAAAGACTGTCCAATTTAAATGTCCCTCCTCTGGCATCAAAGTGCACCTGCACTGGTGGTTGGTGGTCGCCGCTCGAGCCAGATGGGTCATTGGCTGAGCTGGGCTCATCTTATGCTCGTGTGCGGTGGCACACATTCGGAGTGTAAGGGTGGGCATGTCCTGAAGGGGGGTCGGCCCTTGTAAATTGGTACTGTATATATTGCAAATATTGTTTTATTGCTCATTCGGGATTATTTATTGTTGTTCATGTTGTTGCATTTTTAATAGTTGGAGGCCCACACGTTGCTATGGTCATATATTGATCAGCCGGGACGGCTGAGTTTTATAAAGGGGGGGGGGTGATGTAGAGAGATAAATAGCGTCTCGAGGGCATGTACACCAGCTATGCCCACATCTAGTAAATGTGTATGTTACGTACCTCTCTCTGGCGCCGGCGGAGACATGGCGGGGAAGCGGGCCCTTGAGGGCAGGGTCTCGTCACAGGGAGAGAGAGGGGACGTTGCCAACACGGGATAGTGAAGGGGGCCCGAAAAGGGGGCTTAAAGAACACGTGACGCTGGCCCCAGTTCCGTCGGAGGAGATCGATCAGGGGGCGTGGCCGGAGGTGGAGCAAGGCCACGCTCAAGAGGATAAGAGGGAGGACGGAGCGATCTAGTTGTCTGGAAGA